ACTTTCCCATCATCGTATACTCATGGTAGGAGCCTCCGACTTTTCTATAATGTTTGAAATTATTTAACTGATATAAAAATAAAACGTGAGGACAGAAGACAAACAAACCAGAAAGGGGAGTATGAGAAAGATAATTACTACAGGAAATGAAATGGAAGTAACCTGTCCTTACATTTCATGCATCACATTTGTAATGCTAAAGACCATAGCTTGACATTAAATGCACCGTAAAACAAATGACTAGCAAACATGATAAGAAAGTCTAGAGGTAGCAATTGCTACCAGTGTTGGAGCAGATGGTGGCAGAACAGACAGGTAGCCTCATGCACCTCACCAGTGTTGACTTCCGCTTGCGCCTACATTCTCTTCATCCTTAATGCTTCCGCTTTGCTTTCATTGTGGAGTTATAGTATTTTCCTTAAAGTATGATTGATAAACAGGAGTACAGTACATCTTGAGCGGAAATTGTGATAAATATATATATGAAAAATTATGCCAAATTATTTGTTAAGAAGTGAATAGGAATTTCTTTTTCAGTTATTAAATGTTATTCAATTCGATGATTTAAGCTTTTATTAATTTATCATTTCGTTGAGTAAAAACTATGTTTTATATCACATTTTTAGGAAAGCAATGTAAACAATATCTTGGAGAAGGTTTAATCAAAGCAGCTATACTGTTATGTTGAGCGGTCGAGCTCATTTACGATCTGTTCTCATGTGTGTTAGTTCATGGATAAGTAACCACAGTAAACATATGTTCTTTATCTCCAGGTTTGCGCTTTATCAAACACCACTACAACCAAACACCGTTGACATACCAACATTGATTGATTGAATGTTGATTTGCCATCGGAAGAACGAACCTCCAATATAAAATACCCCATTGGGGTGTTCATCTTGTTATTGCATAGTCTCCAGACGCAGCAAGCATTGCTTACCTCTTTGATATAATCTGTTCGCTTAAAACAGCAGTCCGAGGTAGGTATACATATGGCAGACTGAGCAACCCAGTTTTTTTCCTTTCGTTGAGGAAATAGCGCCAAACATGCTGTTTGGCGCTATGTTCACTCACAGGTGTGTGACACTTCCCAAAAAAACTCAATTTTTCGATCTCCCACGACTCGTCAGGTCTCATGCCATGAACTGAAGTTCCTAAGATTAATGCGGCACAACGGCCCATTCGTACGGTTGAGTGGGAGGTTGCTTGCCTTGTGTGATGGTGTGTGGATCGAGAAGTGGTGGGCAGTCATGCTCTTGGGTGACTTGATGCGCTCGATAGAACAGTGCACACTCATTTACACACACACACACACATATAGAATGGCACGCACACATACTGTTATATGCTGATGGGGATGTTGGCAGAGCGTGACAGGTGTCTGGTCAGCCTGGAGCTCCTCTGCACTTCCACTGTGCTAAAACTACGCTTTCACGAGCATTTACGCATCTATTTACGAACCTGTATATCTTTTCAGAGTCGTTGATGCTTTGTTTACATTTATTAAACAGTTTACAAACATCGAAACTTCCCAATTAAATATTATTGTTATAAACAACCTTGGGATGCCTCGGAGCTCATAAACTGCTTAATAAATGTAAAAAAAGCAGGGAAAGATTGAGAAAAGATGTATCGTAAGTTCTTGCGTAACTGCTTGATGAATCCAGGTCAAGACCACAAAACACAATAGACGAAAACTATTTCATGTGTAGAACCGCCGAATTTAAATTCTAGATAATAAATCTACTCTATTCGTATATATTTTGATTGGAGTTTACATTATTTAGTCACAATTACTGATTACTTTTCTTGGTAACTATTCGTAGCAATTAAAATTTATGAATAGTCTATACCTTTTTCTCCTTGAAGATGCGATTGAAATGATGACCTTGCTAAAAATGAACGTGTTGATTCATTGATTAATTAATCATTTTCTGGTGTATGTTTCTATCTTATTTCAAGGCCTAGTTATTCAAATTGTAGATGCCTATTGGTGTGTATGACCAAAGGACTAACATAAGAATCATGCAATGAAACCACGTAATAATTGCACGTAAAAATGTCGCCAATTAGTTACAGTCGCTGCCAAATAGTCATGTGATCACAGATAATTATTTAGTCATGTGATAACGGCCATTTGGTCACGGCGAACTAATTTGTCATGTGGTCATGGTTTAATGGTCCCAGCCAATTTAGTTTTGTGGTTAGTGCTAATTGATCATGTGGTCATGGTTAATTGGTCATGTAGTCACTGTAAATTGATAATTGGTCAGATCTGAACAAGTTCTGAACGGTTTGTTCAGATCTTTTGTACTTTGTACTCCTTTTTTTGCGCTATGTCTGATACGAACCAATAATACATAACACGAGATCCCTCGGTGTTTTTTTTGTTATCTACACTAATGCATTTCCTTAAACGGTTGTCATAGTTGCTGCGAATTTAAAATAACATACAAAATTGCGTACTTGACCTTTTGACTACGTGACCAATGACTGTGGACGAGTCGTTAATACGCACTGTAATCTGCCAATTCATTATCCCATTTCATTACATCACCCGCATATGCGTGCAGATGTAGTGAAAATACCACGAGCGTTCGAAGAAAGGATTAGATCACCCCAGTTTTAATTTGTTTTATAGCCGAGCATAACCTTGTCTCGGCAGTCATATTCCTGCCCCTGCCCAACTCGCCCCACTGCAGGGTAGGTAACCTAATGAACTCCCGGCCAGACTAGCAGTCTCCAGCACTGGCGGCTACCCGTAACTGTTGCAGTGGTCCTGCGGGCCTCCTCTGCCCTGGTTCACCGGTGCCTGGTCTGACCCCTTGTATCCCTCCAGGAGAACCCGGGTACTGTTAGAAGCGCTGCTCGCAGTCTCACGCACTACTCACAGCCAGCTTGATCAGGTGTCCTTAGGATATGTTTATCAAGTTCTCTTCTGACGACCATCAGAGATCGGACAGTCATGACCCTTATGTTTAGAGGGAGAGTGTTTTGGGCCCTTGACGTGCCTATTACACCTCTGCTTTTCAACGGGGTTGTTTTGCTCTCCCTACAATGCCTTCTGGTCTCACGAGGAGTTACTCTGTGTGTGCAGATTTGGAACCAGATCCTCTAATATTATTCAAGTGTAAATTATTATGTATCTCTCTTGCCCGTATTCTAGATTATACAGATTTAGATATTTTAAGTGGTCCCAATACTTTAGATGCCTTTTAACACCAACATTAAAGAACTGAGTGTGTCAGAGCCGGGCCTGTAACATAACTGTCACACACATGTTAAACATAGGTATCCAACGGAACTATAAAATACTTTACTTCACACTAATTGCAACAGTAAAACACAACATTCTCTCGCCAGGTTGGAAGCCTGTTATAACGGTCATGTAACCAAAAAACGTTAACTTACCTCATCATGGTAATTTTGGCTGGCCGCTAGGGCAACATTCAAGTTGTTATGAAATAAATTATACAACACTTTTTGCCGTTTCTTTGCGGAAGGCAGCAGCGTCCGCGGCCAGGATGATCTGTTCTGCCACTACGGTTACGGGGAGACTCGTCTGATATTAGTCTTATCATTTATATTTTACTATTTTAGGAATGTGCCTTTGGTACATTGGTCTTAAATAATTTGGTCAGTCTTTCTTGCATTAGAGCTTGTGACTTGTGACAAGCATTCCATAAAGTGGGGTTTCTTCCTACCAAGGGGCGTTGTACAGTGAACAAACAGCTAAGGCTGCAGGTAGAGTCACAGGATGAGTGATGCCCCAATAAACTCACCCCAAGGGGCAAAAATACAAAAAAAATAGTAACTTAATCCGTCAGTTGCGTTTTATAGGTTAGTTAGTAGGTACAGTAATATTTGGCTGGGGTGAGTGGTGGCGGCAGATAGCCTCAGGTTTGAACGGGATTTAAATCACCGCTGGTCTAAGACAACATTGCTGTGCTACCCACTGTTTACAGGCTGGGAGCTGGGCGTCGTGTTTATATAGCTTGGTGCAGGCTTACGTCGTGATGTTGTCAGGGTGTTAGTAGCGATGAACATATCAATGGTGCTAATGGTGTCCAGTACTTCTAGTATTATTTATAATACTTGGAACAGTAATAGGCTACTAATAGTGCTTGTAATAGCGGTAGTGGCAACAACATTTGATAAACTAGTAATTAAAGTTGCTGATTTACATAACGGATAAACTAAAATTCTAAGTGATTTGGCCTCAAAGATGAAGATAAATAATTTAAATTTGTATTGTACCTCAGTTTATGAAATCATTTCCTCTTAATAGTTTTAAAGTCATCTATCGTCTCATGTGTCCACGTATTCTGCTCTGTATTCTGAATTGTTCTCAACAGTGACTGATTGTAAATCATTAGAGCTTTTATTTTTCACAGAGTTGATGGCGCTCAGTCATCAACCGCCTCATGCTGGTGATGCCTTTCAGAGGATCATCACTCCATCAGCGATCATTCATTCCTAGGTTGATTCGTATCAGGAACTTGTTTCCTCAACACGGTGATATGTGTGAAATCAAGTCAACCGACCACATGAAGGCTCTGGCACACAGTTGGCTCCTGGCTCATCCTGTTCCTTATATAATAGTTACTTAACAATAAAGTTAAGTCTGATTCGTAATGGATACAAATAATATCATAACATTAATAAGTTCCTAGGGGCAGGCTTCAGATGAGCTGATGTTGGTTAACAGCTCTTGCTTGCAGTTTCACTAGAATTAAAAAAAAAGTCGAAGTGGAGGTCCTCCGAAAATGAACCTCTTTTCATTTCCAAGCCACTTTTCTTCCCACCGACTTTACTGCTCGTGCTCATTTACTTTTTCAAATGGTAATTTAAAAGGGGCTTTATTTAAACGCCCTTTCCCTTGTAGTACTGTATTGGGAATGCAGCCATCAGTGTTCACCATTATTCTTGCAAAGCCATTTATAATCTGTTCACCACCCAGTTCTCTTCACCGCCTCTAACTCACGTTCTTCTCCCTGCAGCGTGGGCCTGAAGGTGCTGGTTGAACGCGAGAACCGTCAGATGGACACCATTGGGGAGATCTGGCGCTCTCTCACCAACTGGGAGACTCTCCAGTGTGACGTCATGTTTCCCAAGTGAGTACAGCGCCAATAATATTATGGTGCACGACGGGTGTTAAATATTTATATATATTTTAGGAGTAATATTTATGATATATATTTTTTAATTCTTCATAATCTACTTATATTTTTAAATAATATCAAATACCATGATCACGAGTGAGAACAATAATAATTAATATATACTATCCAATAATATGATGTAGATTTGTATAAGTATTTTGTATTTGTATTTGTTTAATATTTGTTAAATTTCAATGGATAAGATTTAATATTATTGTAAGGCAGTGAGACTGATCAGTATCAATTTCAGTTGAGAACCACTCCCAACTGGCAGCTCAATATATTGACATTATTCGCAGTTCGCCAAAGCCATTAAGCTCATAAGTAATATTTGTCAATGTAACCGTAACATGCATTTGTTTTCCCAGTTTGTCGTGTCTGTTAAATAAGGCTAGCTAGTTTTTAAAATAATTAACATATGATTTCCGGAAAATATAATACTTCTAAAATTATCAGGGTTTTATCTCGCTGTACAAAACATTCTCTCAACTGACAGCCTGAGGCTGAATTCACAAACACTTATTAAGTGTTAACTTACGAGATCTGTTCCTCTTAACTCGATCATGGTGACTCGATCTTCAATATTTACTGAACAGCTGACGCTCTCTAAAGCACTACGAGGGCGCTCTCAACCTAAGGCTATTGTTATGGACGACCTCGTAAATTGTTTAGCTAATACTGACTTTAAATCGCCATGATGGAGGCCAGAGGTACAGATCTTTAAGTGGACAATAAGTGCTATTTTAAATCCTAGCGCTGTTGCCCCTTTTCCCCTTAAATCGTCGTATCGACATCCCACAGAGAAAACAATTTTTTCCTTCACCAACTTTTATGTTTTGTTGTTGAAACATTTGATTCCACCAATATTTGTTTAAACTTTTACTATACGATTTTACTTTATCGTGACATATCACAGTAGTTTTTTCAAAATATTTTAATATTTATTTTTACTAATAATATCGACATCACATTGAAATTCCCCCGTGGATACCAACTCTGGCATCCATAGCTGCCTTGTGTGCAATGTTTTTTTTCTGAGTCTGGAGCCGCGCCTCGCCAGTAATGCTTGTGTTTGCTCGCAGGTGTGATGGACCCAAGGCCCTGGAGATCGTCAACGATGTAGCTCTGGGAGCTCGCAAGTAAGGAGTTAGTAATCTCCAAGGTGTCCTCCTCCAATGACTGCCGTCGCCTGCGGAACCTTGGTAATAGACAGTGATGTCCTCGTCGTTGAAGCCTGGCGAGAGAATTCTAGATGGAAATTCTCTCGGCTTGAATTTTGGACAAGGAGGATCATTGAGTATTGTGGTGCTCTCCTCTACTCTACTGGGGGAGGACCTCGCGTGACATCATGAGAGGCTTCAGTACTGCAGGACTTCTTCCCGGGTGTCGCTACCCATCGACTAACATATCAGTAATATAGGGAACTGGCGTGATACTGTCTTGATCAAGCTGTGACTATCTCAAAATTGTATATTTGTGTTGTCTGTGACGCTTCACAACAACCTACCTGACACACATCAGTCACTGACCGTCGTGAAAGCAGGTGTCACTTCAGTATATTCAGTGTCAGGGATACTGAATCTTCACGATAAATATACTCACAAGAAGTATCGTTAAGACGTGTAGATGATAAGCTTCAGGTGCTTCCCCTCTCAACCAATGTTCACAATAAATAAAGTTGAAGGAGAGGCGTGTGAAAGCGGTGGCTGTCCTGGGGGAAACTTGTAATAATCTGCACATTTGTAAATAATGTATTTGTGTTTGTATCTGTTTAACTAATGAACGGTCAAGGCTCAACACTAATCACTATGAAGTATTGTATTACTATTGTGACTGTTGACCTCTCCCTGCTCACGGCTGAGTCACCTTGACCTCCCACAACTGTACAAATGGTCGCCACCACCACTTCTCCACCGGGATGAGTGGAAGCTTTTTGGTTGACAAATTGTTCTCGTGTTATTTATATTGTTATCCTTTGCTAGGAATTTATTTATTGCATATCTGCAACTATTTATTTGTTGTTTGTTAGCTATAAGGTGTTGTCATGGCCTTATTAGTGTGACAATAAATAATTTTATGTACACTGTTTTTCATTCCTTAGATGGCAAAATTATTTACACTTATACTATGTGTTTAAAATGTAAACCTTATTTTTAGATTAATATATTACAGCAATTCGTGAACCAACAACAAAAGTTATGTTGTTGTTTCAGAAGTTTTTTATGTTAAAACAGAAGAATACCATGGCGTGTTTAGCGAGTCCTGGATGTGGAACGCTAAATAAGATTGATTTAAACCACATAGAAATACAGAATAAAACACTACAAAGAGAAAAACTTTTATTGTATATAAAACATATTAATGACAATAAAACATTTGTAAAACATAATCACTTAGCTTGTACAATGTGGTCTAATTAACTGATAAGCTTAGAACTATGGTAAAGTAACTTTAACAAAAATTTCTGATTATAAGCGTTTCTCCATTGCTAAATAATATTATGACCAAACCAAGTTTCCCGAACAAAAAATTTTGGCAAACATTTCGTTTTTTATAATAAAATTCCTACGGAACAATTATCAATATTTGATATCACTAACTTTGGCAGCATAATTATTCCTATTAATTGCCTGTCGGAGAATCAGCATTGAAACCATTGGTTACAATATTTTAACTATCACATTATGCATCAATAGCTTTTTAACAAGAAAAATATTTACTGGCAAAGGAATGTACCCAGATTTCAAAGGTGAATCTTACATATATAAATAATATAACACCTTGTCGTTTATATAAAAGCTTAAAAATCAAAAGGACAAATTTGAGTAATAAGAGCAATAATAGCTCACAGGTATATAAAAAGAGAAATAAAACCCCATAAGCCTTACCAAAAGGAAACAAATTCCGAAAGTCTTTTTTTGTGTAATTCTAACAACGGATATTGTGAATAAAAAAAAAGGTATATCTATATCCCCCTATACTATACTCCAACTTCCCTATAAACTTCCTTGGCTGGGTCGTTCCAAGAGGCCCTTCCTGATGAAGATGAAGTCATCGCCGAGGGACGAGGATAAGGTGTAGCCTCGCTCTTGCAGGAAGGTAATGAGGGCTTGGCTGCCCTCAGGCACGTGACGGTACTCCACACACACCACCTCGATCCTCACGCTCTCCCATGGTACTGTCTTTAGCACCTGCGGTCACATTAAAACCAGGGAGGGAGAGAGAGAGAGAACAGGGCTTTTACTATGCAGGCGATGAGTCACAATAACGGGGCTAAAGGATGACCAGACCACACACTAGAATGTGAAGGGACGACGACGTTTTGGTCCGTCCTGGACCATTATCAAGTCGATTGTGTCTTGATCGACAATCGACTTGATAATGGTCCAGGACGGACCGAAACGTCGTCGTCCCTTCACATTCTAGTGTGTGGTCTGGTCATCAGGGCTTTTACTATCTATAGCGACCATCTCGTCGCTGTACACATTAAAGTACGGTCTCAAACACTGCGACATCCTGCACGTCACAGTCAACTTCCCATAAAGTACTCTCAGTGTCACATAAATCCTTCACGTCTCATGACAAAAGGCACTAATATTAATGCACATCACTTTTAAGTATTTAAGAAGTAAACAATGCACCTAAGTTTTAAAACTTCAAAGACCAAAAATTTGCACTTGTCAAAATGCACGCCTGCTACAAGCCCCGTATAGCTTTGGCTACACGATGCATTTCCCAATAAGCAACCCTGGCAATTCATACTTCAAAATTTCATACTACGAAATGAACTCCATACAATACATGCTGGCTGTCAATACGGTAAGCCAGTGTTAAAAGACTGAACCACCTATCATTATCATCATAAATTCCCCCTTTCCCCACTGGCACACACTCTTAACCCTCCCTCACCACCACACCCTCCCTCACCACCACACTCTCCCTCACCACCACACACTCTCTCACCACCACACCCTCCCTCACCACCACACACTCCCTCACCACCACACACTCTCTCACCACAACACTGCCAAGTAGCACCAACCTGCAGTTCTGCTCCCTCCACATCGAGGGACAAGAAGTCGAGGCGGGTAGCGTTGACAGCAAGCAGTAGAGAGTAGAGAGGGAAGCACTTGACTCTGGCGTAGATACCATGTTCCTTGTGTTCATGATGGCTCACGATGTGGCCCATGGTATCGCTCTGCCTGTGGATGGACACAGATCGATGAGAAGTGCAGTTCTCACGCGAGGTTACAGAAAAACCTATACAGAAAAACTTCTACCATCACAGAATGGTAGAAGTTATATCTGTGTTCACGTCTGGCTATGTGTTGTGTGTATACATTATCTAAAAGTGTTCAGAGCAGTTATAGTCCCTGGATTTAGCCCCAGCTTCTTCCAATTGTCGGATATCTAGTTATTTTATATTTAGATCATTTATTATGCACCTCATACCCATCACGTGAATGGTAGTGAAAAAGTCACAGAAGCACATACTGGGCTCAGGAACTGAACCCCAATAATCGTTTAGCTAGGCAATTTACAACATTCATAAGCTAACATCAAATTTTTCCCCTTATTAAAAGCTTTACCCACTTTCAGCTTCCTTCGTTCCTTTCACATTCCACATAGTCGTAAAAGCCTGTCTTTACCTTCTGAAGCCTGAACAGACATGGCCCCAGATCCGAAGCCAATTGAGGCCACGGCGGGAAGGAACGTAGGATGATGGCCCTTAGTCCATTCTCCCCAACTCTTTATTACAAAGGCTGCGGGGTTGTTCACATTACACAATAGTGGGCGGTGTGTTCGCTAAATCCTCATGTGCAGGAGTGCACAAAACTACACGAAAACATGTATTAACTTTATATTTAAGAAATATAACTTCAAAACAGAAGTAAAACTATGATGAGGTGTGAACAAGAGGTACACTACATTCTTGTACAGCCACTAGTACGCGTAGCGTTTCGGGCAAGTCCTTAATCCTATGGTCCCTGGAATACGATCCCCTGCCGCGAAGAATCGTTTTTTCATCCAAGTACACATTTTACTGTTGCGTTAACTGCACTGCACTTGCGTTAACTACTACTGCTACCACTCACTTGAACGTGACCTCTCTGGGAAACGGGCTGGGCGAGAGACAGGCGTGGATGGAGTGGGCTTTTCTGCCTCTCTGGCGAAGTGCCCAGAAGTTCCATGGGTCGGGCTCCACCAGCAGGCCCCGCCACCCCAGCTCCCGCTCCAGGTACAAGGTGTTGCTCAGCTCCTCTCCGTTGTAGGCGCCTGCCTCCAGGAAGAACCCTCCGCGCTGCGGGGAGACATCCAACGTTGGGAGTCACACGAAGAATGTTTACTGCATACTTCACTGAATATATTATTGATTATCTGATTGGCGAGCTACTGAATTGCTTGCTTAATTTACTGATTAAAAGATAACGAGCTGAATAGCTATTTTAATGATATATATCGTAATAAGTCCTGTCCCCGCCTTACCTAAGAATTAAGACTGTACATTTTAAACTCTACCGAAGAAAACAAGAAGACCGAAAGTATATCATAACTATTGCCTTCTTGGGCCTGAACCGACTACTTACCATCATCGACAGGACGAACGCTTTACCAACAACCTATTCCTTCCCTGACTGCCCTCTCCTTACCTTGCCTTTGAGGATCTTCGCCACCTCCGAACTCTGGCCGTTCTGTGAGAAGTCAGTGGTGTTGGTGTTGTGCAGCTTGTATGGTCCTGCGGCGGGAGGCAGCAGGTGGAGCTGCCTAATGTAGGCGACGAGGTCCGGGTGGTGCTGGGGCGCACCTTCCAGGTCGTGGTCCTCCAGTTCCAGCGCCTGACGCGGGGAGGCGCGCCGGTTCAGTGCTGCCAAGCCAACACCAGCACAGACATCAGTTAGAAAAAAGTGTCACTGCACAGTTTGTACTGATAAGCTAACACATGTTGACCAGACTACACACTAGAAGGTGAAGGGACGACGACGTTTTAGTCCGTCGTGGACCATTCTCAAGTCGATTGTCCAGGACGGACCGAAACGTCGTCGTCCCTTCACCTTCTAGTGTGTGGTCTGGTCAATATTCTTCTGCCACGTTATTGTGACTCATCGCCTGCAAGCTAACCCATGTTACATAACACGCTGGCAAATGTTTATCTTGCCAACTTGAAAATTGTTGTGAAATTCAGTTCCAATAGAAAAATAATTGACTTCCCTTAAAGTATCGTCACCCAGAGTTACGCCTTGACAATTAAATAGAGTACTTTCCATTGGTTGATTTACAACTTATTACCCCCAGGTGTACCATGCAGTAATTGCACATGTAGAGAAACTATCACACGAGAATTTGCGCATCAGTTAAGGAGTGTAGAAATAGATAAGTGCCATTGTTAACAGGTTCTGGGAGTCACGATTACATGTTTAACAACATTAGCAATAATAAGTCGAATGTTAATTTTCAAATCAACCTTACCCTTGTAGCACTTCTTGAGTTATACTGAATATTTCTGATCAACGTACTAAAGAATGGCTGTCAATTCTTTTACAAATATAGACCTCTTGTTCGTGGCGGCATCCGTCCACGCATTATAATAATAATAATGATGATAATGATAATAATAATAATGAGAAAATCCGTATCAGTCGCGATGAGGGTTCGAACCTATCCGGTGGGTGTTCCGACACACACACGCTAGCGACTGGATCACGACATGGTATAAGGAGTGCTACCGAACACACAATAATTTATTGAGGCTTCTACTGAATAATGTAGAACTACATTATAATGTAGACTTATACTACAATAATGCGAAACCAAACAAATTTAAATGTGTTGAAACGATACAAATAATTATCTAAGTTTACCCTTTCAATGTAGAAATTTTCTTTTTTTCTTCATAGAGTATGACAATTATTAGGGGGATAGTTAGAAATTTGAGCGTAATGTCACAACGGTTTCCCATTGAAGCCTGTTGTGCTAATCGAACTTTTGATAACCAAATGCGAAACTATGCGTGGGATTACCCAACCAGTTACTCACCAGAACCATCGGTGCTTAACCTGACTGATCGAGTAACGTGTTTAACATACACGTGCCATATTTGAGGCTAGCAGTTAATTCCACTAGTTTCTACAGTCATTACTTAGAATTTAAGGCATGTTTTGTCGCATTAATTTAGCACAAACGGATGGTAAAATTGAACGCAGAACAATGAAAACTTAAAGTCACATTTTCCCCAAATTGACTTTGTCCTACCAGTTCACCACATACTACATAGCCTAGGTAGGTTACTATAAATATGTCTCTATCAAAATAATTTTTCATTGCAATCTATATCTTCACTAGTTGTTTATTCGTTTAAAACATGACTGCACTTCTTGCAGCTTACAAATCCCTGTAAATTCTCAGTGTATACTTCAACAAATTATGTAATGCCATGCAAGACTTGCCGGCAAACGCTGAACGTGTTAGTGCCATTGAAAAAATGTACATTTAACACCAAGAATTGTATAAAATCGTTAGTCTTTCTATTCAACATTTAACTAAATTAAATATAGTAAATAAAAATACTGTTTTTATATGTTTTCATTTTTCTCAACACATCAAAAGTTCACGAATAAAATATGAACGAACAATTTCCTTGTTTGTATCAAATATCAGACCTTAAGGGAAATAAATATATGATATAAGCAGTGTGATTTTTCAAAAACATATATCTATATTTATAAAATAAAATGTCTGTCGAAGTTTGGAGACCAGACGCTTGGGGATAGTTTCATTAAACTTTGCAAGGTAACTTGAGTGGGTGGGTGGATAAGCTGGTCGGGGTCGGCCCCATTGTTTTCCTTGAAGGGGGAGCCAACTCCAATTGAATTCTTCACAAAGTCGGTAGAAATGAATTACTCTCATCATATGTTCATAAAATTACAGATTTCAGATAATGACATGCAAAACAGGCACCGGTCAACCCGGGAACCGCTGGGTTGACCGGTGTCATCTAGTAACACCTATAACAATATCAGCAAATTTTTAGCACAAGCCTAAAATTTATTTTACTATTTTAAACTCCTTAATCTCTCCAAGTGCTCTATGTAAAATCTATCAAACCAACTGCTGTGTTACCTTTTGTTAGTTGAGTTCGTTGCATACAAAATTAAGGTGTTTATCACGCAACTTAGATGGGCAGTGGTAGAAAGGTTACACTCATCTGCATGCATTTCATTGAACATTCATGATAGCTATCTCTAAATTTATGATTTTTGTTCACATTCATTTACATGGCCATGCAGAGTGTGCGAATAATTTTGCTGGTACAGTTTGCGTCAGATCTACACCGGCAGGTAATTACATTTTTCAGAGCTCCTTATAACAGAGGCTAAGCCGAGCAGTAATGACACTAGGCGTCTGTTGTTTTTATTGGATTGAGTAATACATACCAAGAGGAATATACTGATATTCTTCACTTACGAAGATAAGCTACATAAAGTTTTTATACACACCTTTAGCGTTGAGGAGGAAGAGGAGGGAGATGAGGGTGAGGACGGTGGCCAGGAGAATAGAGAGGGGTGCGGCGCGAGGCAGGCGTCCAGGTCTCGCACACCACCACCACCAGTCAACACACATGCCCATTTCGCCCCACGCCCACCTGCGGAGCTGAGAAGTGTTAGGAATGGGCCCTTTACATTAGCCACGGTCCACCCGAGGAGCTGAGAACACTGTCCAAGGACCTCACACGCCCACCTGAGGAGCTGAGAACACTCTCCAAGGACCTCACACGCCCACCTGAGGAGCTGAGAACACTATCCAAGGACCTCACACGCCCACCTGAGGAGCTGAGAACACTATCCAAGGACCTCACACGCCCACCTGAGGAGCTGAGAACACTATCCAAGGACCTCACACGCCCACCTGAGGAGCTGAGAACACTATCCAAGGACCTCACACGCCCACCTGAGGAGCTGAGAACACTATCAAAGGACTTCTGGACCTGGTGGGCGTATATTCTCTCACATTAGTCACAGGCTACCACCCTTAAGGAATTTAACCTCACGTCATTGGAAGATAGAAAAGTTAGGGAAGACATTATTAGAACATATACAATTCTCAGGGGATTTGATACCTGCTTGATAGGGGTTTTGGGAGTTCTTCTACTCCCCAAGCCTGGCCCGAGGCCAGGCTCGACTTGTGAGAAGGGCAGCAAAATAAAATCAGACAATGTCATTATTTGGAATAAGCAATACACGAACAAGGGAATACATTATTTGGAATAGGCAATACAAGGGATCACAAGTGGAAATTTAAGTACCCAAATCAGCAACAAAATCAGTAAAAACATTTTTGCCAGTGTTAGATTAGTAAATAAATGTAATGTTGTTACGGTATCGACACCGTTGCCGGAGTGTGGGGTGGCGATTTTGGCGCCATCTATGGACATACACTCCAACTTCCATGTATTAGGGGAGATGCAGACAACACCATCTGTTGGCGATGGTGTGGCGTCGGTAAAAGGCTCCTGTTTCATACCTCAGTTAGAAGGTGAGGTCGATGATGATGACCTCTGGTGGGTGGCGTAAAGATATCAACGCCATGTAGGTTGTAAAAGCAATTACAATTTCAATTCCCGGTGGAAGGGTGTTATCCTAAGGTCGCCCAGTATACTGTATCCAGTTCTTCTGGTGACTGAGTCTCCATCTCAGTACCCAGCATGGGGGGGAGATGAGTATACTGTCTGTCTAGCTAATGACGTTTTATGTTCAAAGAGGTGACGTAAGGAGGCGATTGCGCTGAGGAGGACAGTTCACCTTTGGCAGTCCAAAGCTCTTAAGCTGGTCCTGTGAGAGGACACAGTAGCCGTTGTCGGTAGTAGCAATGTATTAGCTACTGCATTTATGCAGTGTTGTATGGACCGACGTACCCGGGATTTGGCCAAGAAGAGTTACGAGACGACAATAGTGCGTCTGTTGAGAAGTGCTGCTAGTGTGTTGCTAGAGACTTCTGCCAGGGTGTTAGGTACCCCTGTACGTGATTACTTGAGACCCCTGTCAGCTTGTGGCTGAAGCCCTCTGCCAGTGTGTTTCTGGAGAGCGGATGTGGGGTATTGGGACATCGTGATGATACAATGTATGGACTGGCCCATGTTGTGGAAGGTGAACTCGCCGGTGATTACCACTGAGCGTGGACAATGTATATGTGAAGATAATGGACTCGCCGGGGCTTGATGAACTGCTGATCTATCGAGTGTCCTGAGTGAAAGCGACACAGTGTAAATATGTATAGTTATACTTAGGGATATAATATATATTGGTGGTGATAATATATTGGAGAAGGTGTAATTGCGTATTGTTTATCCCCCTTTTATTCCTTACACTGTTCCTTGCCACCGTCAGTTCTTGAAATCTTACAATCGACTTTGGGTAGGATAAAGAAGTGGTTATAAGACATTAACAGAAAAGAACCCGGTTACTGGCCCAAGCTGGCTGTAACAAATGCACTAAACAATGAAGAGATGAAGGCCGACTCCATATGCAGTTGATTGAGGCCGAGGGAAAAAAAAAGCCGAAGCTCAAGCCCCGCAAGCACAATTAGGTGAGTACACAATCTGCAAACAGAGGCCAAGCTTCTCCTGCGTCCGCCCAAGGGGAAGGAATTATAATGTCTGCTGATACACTAGCTGTAGGCTTCACGACGTACTAGCTTGTATTACTGTCGTCTACCATCATTTGTACCCATTATATAAAATTTCGACAGAAATCAACGATCAAAAGTGGAACGAGGTTCGTGCTCGTACAGAGAACAATCATTGTCTGTACTTGTGAAGTATCATACACCAGTCCTCCTGAAGTATTGTACATCAGTACTCTTGAAGCATTGTACCAACCCAAAGATGCTACCCCTCAATTAGCTGACTAACTCCTGGGTACCGACTTACTACTAGGTGAACAGATGCATTAGGTGATAGGAAATGCGCCCAACCATTTTAGTCCCGTCCGGGATTCGGACCAGGAATTCTCGACTATGAGTCGAGAACGAACCCGATTGTGCTACCGATACCATTAAAAAAAGTGGTCTGGGTAAATATCCTCAGACTTGTTTAGTATTTTAAAGGTGTCGATGACATCAGCCCTGTCATGCCCGGTGTGTAGTGGTGTTGATCCTGTGGCCTTCACCTATTCCTGGTATAAAGAGTTGACTTAGTTCTGAGATGGTTTTTTGTAGCTGTGTCGTACTTTCTTTCTGATATGTAATTTTGAAAGTGGGGTCTCCATGCTGGGATACAGCAGTCCATATGGGTGGGGGGAGAACTTGAGACTTGTATAGTTGAATAACCACAAATCTCTCTTTTTTTTTTCTCCTCCTTGAAGTCAAAGGTTCATTTGATTATACTTAGGATTTCTTTGTTATTATTATACCTGCTACTTGTTAAGCAATTTTCAATGACTGGTGGATCAAAACTTCTAGGTAATTTTCTTCATGTCCTCGGGAAGGAGATCTGCTCAAGGGAATTGATTGAGAACGACTACATAATTAGTACCATTATCTACTCTCTATCCATGGTAAGGTTTGGTTAAGGATACTTTACTATTAGGTTAGGTTTCATTACATTTGGTTACCTTAATTCAGTGTGTTAGTGACGATAATGCAAATTATGAATTTGAAAACTATTTAAGTGTACCCGATAATTCCGTTTACAGAAAATAAAATTCTTCAAAAAACGTTTTCAGCATATAATTTTTATATTTTAAACCAACGATTTATAATAGATTAAATATATAACTCGAGAATAATCTATGTTTAGGACAAAGATTCACTTGCCAGTTTACAAGTAGATTATTACTGGAACCGTAATATGCTTTCAATCACAAATATTTAGATAACTATCCAGGTGGTTTGAAAGGGAAAGTGGTTTCTCGTGGTAATTATGGATTTGGTCAGAGGGCGGGCAATGATATGATAGATATGATGAGCCGTGTTATGCAACACATGTAGAGTTCTGCATTTTTCAATATTGAAAAGTATTTGCCAATAGTCTGACCATTAGTAGAGTTCATGTAAAGCCTCAGTATAATTTTTGCTTCCTACTTTACCAGAGATCTTAGCGTCATGTGCACATTTAATGTGGTTTGCAATGTTCTCGTCTACATCGCTGATGCATATAACAAAAAAGGTTGGCTTCAAGATGGAACGTCGCGGTACTTCACTCGCCACATTTTTTCCAGTCAGATTAATTTCCATTCAGGAAGACCCTTTGCTTCCATTGTTTTAACATTTTTTATCCATTCTAGTATTTTACCGTTTATTCCAGGTGATTGTAATTTCCTCGCCAGTCTTTCATGTGGTACCTTATCAAAAGTTTTTAAAGAAGTCCATGAATACTACGTTTACTGGAAGTCTTTTGTTTGAATAGCTGGTTACAGCTTCAAAAAATGTGAGCAGGTTAGTAAGGAAGGATTTATTTGTAACAAAACTTTGTAGAATGGGCCGAGAGAGAAGGCAACAGCCAAACCAAACTCTTTCTGGGCCTAGTATAGTGCATATGTGCTAAATTATTTATAAGAATAATTTAGGCCTAAGCTTGCTTATATAGCCCTAAGACAGGTTTGGTTAGGTCTTTGGTTAGGCTGTTTCAGTTTTTGCTGTGCCCTTTAGAATTGCAATAGTACAAAATAGGTTTTTGGGGGTACAACAGTATATATTTTGGACATTCCAGCCATATTGTCTATATGTACTTTATGAAATAAGTTGAAAATATATATTATTTGGTATAAATTCATTGATAATTGGGTCTTGTGGCGTGATAATCAGCGCAGTCGATGTCACACCCGAAAGAGTTTAGTTCAATTCCAGCTGCATAACCTTTGGGCAAACGATTACTTTCGCATGATGCCTCTGTTCACGTAGCAATAAACAGGTACCAGGGAGTTAGACAACTATTATGGGTTGCATCCTGGGAAAGATCAGTCATTGGCTAAGAGGGACCTGAATAAGCCTAATTAGGCTTCTGGTCTTCGACTGTACGATACCATTAGTCTACCGAGTTTACAATTGAAGTGTTCACTGGTGAGTCATTGTTAGATATAGACGACAAGAGCGATAAACAATAATCATGTCAATTTATTCTCGGCAGTCTCTCCCACCCTTTCCGATTAGTTTTTACCACAGACGTGGCCACACATTTACAATGCTAACCACATATATACATTTTCTTCTGTCCTCCATGGACAGGGTGAGAGATTTGTCAAACATACAGTTCAGGGATTTTCCGATTATGAGGCAGCAGAGACCAACTTCCCCTATCCCCCTACTCACTAGTGAGGGAGTACAGGCGCCAGTAGCCTCGCTCTCATTCCCCGCCCCACCCTCCCCATACACCCACCCCCTCCCCATACACACTCCCTCCCCATACATACCGTCACGCCCTCGGCCACAAATATTGATCACCTCCAACACCTAGTGATTCTTGCCATCAACCCCAAAAACATCGTTTGACACTTGTAGATTTGCTGATTACTTTCTCGTTTATGCGAACTATCAAACAAGAACATTTGTGCCCCTTGACATTAATTGTAAAATCTTTACACAAATACACATGTATCTCACCCTACGTAAATATAAATAAGTTTTTTTTTATAACAATATATAGGTCCACAGGCAGAAAATCTTATCACCAAGTAGAATTGTATGACGAGCAATAAAGATCAGACAAGACAAAGAAAGGTGGGTATGCTGAGTATTTTTTGTGTCAGTCTTTGGCACAGTATCCTACATGCAATTGTGCAACTGGAGACACAATTGGAAAAGCAGACACTATATTATGAGCTTGACTTTATAAGGCCGTGGATGGATTTTTCGGTGAGGTTACTTTACCGGGTCCCCGGCAAGGTTTATGCTGGCTGGACTGTGTATATAATAATATAACATTCGGCCTCCATGGCACCTGTTCCCAATTCCATCAACCTACACACGGTTGTATTGAACTCTAATAGCTATCTCTCGAACCAACTCTGCAACTTAGTACAGTCATCTTTGAGCATCTTACAATCATCTGTTTCTACTCTTCTCATTAACTCTGCATTATCCGCAAACATTAATACACAGGCTTCTACTCCTATGGTTAGGTCATTAACATAAATGAGAAATAGCATGGGTCCCAGCACCGATCACTGGGGTACTCCGCTTGCTACTCTACACTAGTCCGCCTTCTTTCTCCCCCATCCCCCCAATACTAAAAACGCTTTCTAATGTCCGTATGGCTCATTTGGGTACTCAGTTTCCCCCTTTTACCCTTATGTGTGTGTGTGTGTACTCGCCTAGTTGTCCTTGCGGGGGTTGAGATCTGGCTCTTTGGTCCCTCCTCTCGACTGTCAATAAACTGGTGAACAGACTCCGGAGCCTACTGGGCTCTATCATATCTACATTTGAAAGTGTATGGAGTCTGCCTCCACCACATTACTGCCAAATGCATTTCATCTGTTAACTACTGACACTGAAAAAGTTCTTTCTAACGTCCAAGTTACTAAACATTATAGGTAATATACATGGTCCCCTTTTTAGAGTTTACAAAATACAAAACAAGATTACAAATTGAGAGAGGCTTCATGAAACACTTAAATCTATATATAGTTAATCACCAATAAATAAGGAATCGATTAGTATAAACTAATTCATAATTGCCACGTAAATTGAACTGCACTGTTGCCCTTCCCAGTAGAGTAAGGGGGAATATGGGAAATATGTATCTGGCGCCTGCTGGGTCAATATAATCGATTGTTGTTGTTTGCAACCTAGTTATACACGCTATACTCACTATCCTCCCAGACTGAGCCTTGCCAGCACCACTATATATGAACTCGGTTAGAAAACTTTTTCGTGGAAAGCAATCATATCGTAGCCTATAATTTCTGCAAAGCAACCATAAAGTTATATAGTTCCCCCTGGAAAAAAATACACACCACGTAGCCTAGCACCTAACAAATGAATATCTCGTAACCTATCTTATTAACATGGTAAGACATAAACATCATAACCTAAACTAAATACAGAGAAGGGAAGGGAACTATCAGGGGAAAGCACCAGGCCGTTACGACTATGTAGCCCTTGGAAGAGGGTCAGGATATCACATTGCATTACTATCAGAACTATGTAGCCAAACTCCTGAAAAGTAAACATCACATAACCTAACTCTTATATTTATTATAAACTATAAATAGAAAAGCTTAGGAACACCAAGTAGCCAAACTCCTGAGTTGTAAATATTCACATAGTCTAACCCCTGAGAAGTAAATGTATAACTTCACTTGAAAAGTAAACACTACGTAGCCTAACTCACCATGATATATAAACATCAAACTCCTGGTAGCAAACAGCACGTAGTCTAACCTTGACTAATCTTTTTGATTAAAATACACTAAACTAAACATTACTGATCAAATAAACAGTCAAATGGGAGATAAAACACAAAGTTAACTAGCTTTTCCTGGAGGGAAAACACCGTATAAAGTTGGTCTTAAGAAAAACGCTATGGTTAAATATACTTTGAAATTGTTATCTAGTCTTCTCAGTAAACATTTTATTAACAATGTATACTAACCTTTCTCAGGAACCAAAAACTAGTCACTAGAATTAACCTAAATCTCCCTGAAGAACTAAACCTGCAAAGTAAACCTTTGCTCTGTAAACTCTCTCAGAACCAATGGAATATACACCTAATCATTCCTGACAGACAAACCTTAAATATAATAATCTTTACCGAGCAAGAAGCCCTTCGGAAACATAATATCCTCAAGAAGCAATCACTGAGTAGGCTTAGCCTGTCTACAGCAACAAACTCTGTGTCGACAACCCTGTCCAGATCGAGGCAAACCCTGTGTGTAATAACAAATTTCGAGCACCAAATTTTCAGTAAACTAACATTTCCAGAGAAGCAAACCCTGTTTAGACTAACATTTTCCGAGCAGCAAACATTCCGTACACTAACATTTCCAGAAAAGCAAACTCAAGCAGCAAGCCCAAAGTACACCAACGTTTCCCGAGCAGCAAAATCCTTATAACATGAACCTTTCCAGAGTAGCAAAGCCAGGGTACACTAACCTTTCCTGAGCGGCAGAGAGCGCCGACAAAACTCCTTTCGAAGAAAGAGCTGGACCATCACCTTGACCCCGGGGTCCGCTGCACCATTCTGATGAAGCAATTATTATCCCGGGTTACTGAGCTGAACCTATTATACCACATCACTTACACGTAATATACTAAGCGCCGTATATTTATCATAGATAAAAAAAAAACAATTAGCAATCTCAATATTAAATATCATTTTCAACCCAACGGGTTTTACAGCACAGGAAAGCAGCAGTAAGCAACCGATTATTTTCACTTGTATCGACAAGTTCCCAAGACACATAGCACCATTTTAAGGCCGCCCAGATACTTACCTCGATTTCCTCCCACTATGTTGTTCCAGAATCACATGGCTACACGTATTATTATCACGAAACAAGGAGGAAACATCACAACAGGCCTCCACTCATTCGCTCTCTCGGAGCACACTCCAGCTTTCGTTGTGTTTACCTGTGTGGCTCACCTGGAGGGAGAAATGTTGAGCCCCTGCTGCTCACGCCTGTACGGGCGACAGTCGTTAGTCTCCAGCAGCATTCTCGACCTTGTGGCGGCGGGTGATAAGTTCTGCGCGTGGGTCACGGGGGTGATGTGCCTGGAGGCAATTACTCTCATAGAAAATGGTTCAGTGTGTTAAAGGATAAACTGTACCTTATTACTGTGTAGCACCGAGGTGTTGTTCTGATAATTCGTGTTGTTCTATTCCAATATCACTGTTTTGTGTTGTTTTTATTATACGTGCCTCCTGCTTATAGCCTAAGTGCCAACAAACTTTACTTCAAAGTTCACATACAACACATAATTATGATAACTTCAATTATATATATTATTATTATAATCGAAAATGTATTCAAATTATTAAGGAATCGGCATACAGGTCTGACATTATCTGTACATGGGGCTCAATTCCAGTTTAGTTCATTTATTATGCCCTGAATTATACCCAGGCGGTGAACGGTGGTGGAAAAGGTTACTGAGGCACATAATGGGCTCAGGGACTGAACCCCCAATAATAAAATAAAAAAATAAAATGTTTATTCAGGTAAGGTACATACATACAAAAGATTTTACATAATTTGATTGATATATAGATGGAGCTAGTACATACAATGCCTAAAGCCATTATTACGCAAAGCGTTTCGGGCAGGAAAAACATTAATGACTAAAACTTAATACTAATTGAGTATAAAGAATAAAATGTGTAATCGGTTAACTAAGGAAATTAAAGAGTTGATGAGCTAGTTACATAGCTTATTACCATACACAAGTTCAAGTTCAAGTATGTTTAATGAGACAAGAAAATGCATCCCAAAGGGATGAAGTAGCTTAGGCTATTTGTATCCCTACCTTCCTTTGAGAATGGTCCAGGACGGACCGAAACGTCGTCGTCCCTTCACTTTCTAGTGTGTGGTTTGGTCAACATATTCACAGTTAATTATAATTCGTTTTGTCGGGATTATATATATAATATATATATATAAATATATAAATATATATATAAATATATAATTTTTTGTGGCACTGGAAAAGATAGCTTGTACTTCTAGGGGTCTCGTGTTGTTTCAATTAGCCTAGAACCCAGTTCATTTAAAAAAAAAACTGGTGGCACTCTTACCCCAGGCGCCGAGTGTTTCAGAAGCAATAGGGACAAAATTGTAGTGGTGATCCAGTTTTCTGTACTTACGGGATTTGGCTGATTCCCTGTGAGTGGCAGCCCCACCTGGTTGTGCAACACTGAAGTCAAAGTATGTGTTAGCCTGGATTGATACACACGTGTAGTCCCATACCAAATGCTTGCCATTCTTCCAGGGGTTCACTGTGATACCATCTGGTCGACCAATAAGAGCAGCAGAGTTACAGGGCGTTAGGTAACAGGGCTCTCTCTCAGCTGGATATCCAGCTGTGGTAAGGTTCCTATTGATATTAACTTCACTGTGCCTCGAGCGCCATCCCCCTGTGGTTTGACAGAGTAGGCCATGGTTGCCGTACCTGGTGGCCACCACCTCGCCGCAAACACCTATATTTGGTGTGGATTGGGGCAGCAAGGTGGAGAGCCACAGCAATTCGGAGGGAGTGTGTTGTGTGAGACTGTGAGACGTGTGCCAGTCGCCGACATTAGGGTTGCTAACAAGCAGCCCCCTCCCCCTGTATGTGGGGCTGCTACTGCTGTGAGGCGAGCAATGTCGTGTTGTGTTGTTGGGTTGTTGCAGCACCCAGGCACTCTGCAGCAACTTGGTCTACAATGAGGCCATCCCAGCTGGATTACTCGTGGGCTTTTGAGGGTGGTGGTTGAGGGGATGGGCCTGCTGGTACAGCGATTTGCGTTGCTGTTCGAACTCCGAGGCCCCCCAAGTCTTACGGGAAGAGAGGCTTGTTTCCACTGTAGGTCATCGAGAGAGAGGTTGAGGGCTTTTTCTAAAATTGTTTTCAGTAACAGATCATACTCGCCTAGTTTTTGGCTACTGTAGGATGGTGAACACTTCAGAAAGTAGGTTAACCTGGGGAGGGACAGACATCTGGTGATGAGGTAAAGTGCGTCATGAGCATCAGTATCCTCAATCATCCCATCCATCCTCTTAAGGTTGGCGATTTTCTTATCAAGAACCTCCTCGATGGCTTTCAACCCCAGGGAGAAGGGGGGGACCTAGGAGTGTACTGTCTTCAGGTTTAGTTATATGGATATTTGGCAGAACACCTATTTCCTCTATGATGGCCTGGTTGAAACATAATTTCACATTTAGAAGAGTTCAGGGTAAGGCCTAAAAGTGCACCTTGCTCCTGGAGTTTTCTGATTTTCTATATATATATATATATATATATATATATATATATATATATATATATATATATATATATATATATATATATATATATATATATATATATATATATATATATATATATTATATACTTCTGTATTATGTACAGTTGGTGGCTGAATGGATATGACCGTGGTGCAGTGGTAAAGCACTCGCACGGCGCTTCGCGAACGCTTTCCCCTGGATTTGTATCCTCCGGGAAGGATTGACTGGAGGCCAATCCTTAACTGTACGCCTCTGTTCACCCAGTAGTGAATAGGTGCCTGGTTGTTACACGATTTGGCGGGTCGTAATCCTGGAAAAAATAGGATAAAAGACCTGGCCGAAACGCTATGCGTGCTACCAAAACAGGAGGATGGGCTGAAATATATGACATCAAGTTCAAGTATGTTTATTGAAATAAGAAAGAAATACATCTCAAAGGGATGGAGTAGCTTAGGCTATTTCTACCCCCAGTAATATATGACATGTTCGTTGGGAAGCAGAGTCAACCTTGAGGGACCAGATTTAATTTAGGGTTAGGACAAATATACTGAAGTAAGACTTAGGACAGATATAGTTAAATTTAGTCCAAATACAGTTAGGTTTAGGACAGATATAGTTAGGCTAAGGAAAAATATAGTTAGATTTAGGACATATAATTAGGTTTAGGACAGAGATAGTTAGATTTATAGTACCAACCAGAGAACTTACAATCACTGGAACAATTCAAACTTATCGTAATTGAATGGTTAATTGGCAGATCTTATCCAATCAATTACAAGCATACCCACACTCCCATAGACAACTGTAAGAAAAATAGGCAATTCTAACTGTCACCAACTATAAGTATCTAACAAGTAGTAGTAGTAATAATAATAATAATAATAATAATAACAATAATTATGTAATTGGAAAGTAATAAATAAGAGATTAAATAATAAAAACCGAACTTATTATAGAATATAAATAAGAGTTAAGGATATTTATCAAACAAAGATTAGCTTCCCCCTCGGCCCCCCTGACCTAAGGTAAACTCGGGCTCTCATTCCGAGTGCGAGAGTGCAGGTTAACCCATGTTTACGCTTCAGTGTTTGTAAACACGCTTTCGCTACGATGCTTCACCAACTGATTGTTTACCTTCACCAGTACGGCAGGACGGAACAGATGCTTATTAATTCATAACCCCATGAGAAGGATCACGAGTCTTGCCACAGGGGGGCCTCTATGCTGAAGAGAACCTGGGATAGCATTTCGGATCACTTAACTCTTGTTGAAAGTGAATGTAAACTTCAGGAACGAATAAACTATGGCATTGGAAGGGTAGAAATTTGGGCAGAACAGAGGATAAGAGAGAGCGTGCATGATTGTAAAGGAAAAATTAGATATTGGCAGACCTTTCTGGCTAGTTTGAAGGCTACTGGGAAAACTAAACTTCTGTTTCTTGGTACGGCTGTTAATTTTATCTGAGCAGATGAGGTCAGAAGAAACCAGATAAGTCTCTCCCGACTCCACACTCATTCCGGTGAGTGAGTGAGCCACTCCTTCAGCCAGTAGACCTATCACACACTACCTGAATATGTATGTGTATAAAGTATATATGGAAGCTGATCAGAATTACATTTCACCTTTGTAAATGCACATTAATGACACTATGTAAAAGACACATCGAACACTTTATGTAGGGCATACGTAAATCTGTGTATCTATGTATTTACGTATGTAGGTTAGCTTAGCATTTTAGAAGCACCGAATCACCTTCTGTGGTTGAGTGTTCAATAAACCCTTGAACTATATGTTTAACACATCTCTAACCCTGTCCATGGAGGACAGAAGAAAATGTATATATGCTGGTTAGCATTGTAACTGTGTGGCCACGTCTGTGGTAGAAAATAATAATAATAAAAAAACTACCTGAAGCGCTGGGCGTAATTACTGGCTTTCCACTGTAATTAGATCTGTATTTGTTATAATAATAATAATATTATTATTATTGTTATTATTATTATTGAAGAACGGAATACCAGTGACGTGTGGCAGTGGCTGTAGTCACGTATGTAATACACACCCTGAGAGTGCCAAATTTGTCAATAACTTGATCATGATTAATACTGTGCAGAGTTAGGTAAGAGAAACTAGCAATTGTGTGCTCCGTTTAAAACAAAAAACATTGGCAATACTGACATACTTCCAACAGGAAGTTAAGATATCATCTTGAATATGGTGATAACCAGATTTGAACGTGTCAGAGATAAGTCTCATCACCAACACTTACACCCAGATAACACACACCTCTTAAGAGCTTGTGCAACCTGTGGTATCGTTAATCGCCTAGTTAATGCCTCTTTAAGAGCTGCGATTAAAGACAGTCCACCGCATTAACTAATATAAAGATATTTTCACAAGAAAGTGTATCGCTTATGTATTCTTACTTACTGCTCACAAATTTTTAAGAACATAGCACCTTTAGCTACATGCTATTAGTGTATAGGCACTTCATTAACAGAACAAAATTAGCTATACATTATATATATATATATATGTATATATATAAGCTGAAGAGGGGGGTTGGGGCCAGTATGAACAAGGCGGCTCACAGTTGGCCTCAGGGGATGCCTGTCCTGTACCTCTTCTGGCCTCTGTTGAGCAAGATTGTTCCTCTGCCCATCCCCTCCCCCTATTATAGGGCATGATGCCCTGTACCAAATACTCTGGCCAGAGTACTTACTACCCTCATCTATGTCCTCATATGTTGTGCTCATTCAAAACAAAGAATAAACAATTAGAATATCAATATTATGCTTAGGATAACAGGTGTTAAGGTATCGAAGATAGAAAATACAACTGTACAGGCTTAAAAAAGGAATGTAGAGAGATAGTTTGTGCAACATGAGCAAAATGCTGGGAGGGCAAGCGGTGTGTGTGCGTAACATGAGCAGCGTGCTGGCCGGGCACTCACCTACCCACTGGAGATTGTGTCTGTCATCGAGAAACTTGGACCTGAGGGTTCTGTTCAGTGGGGGACCCTCCTGCCCCAGCTGGCTCCCTCCGCCACCACCTGCTCATCATTGTCCCCTCATGAGTACCGTGACAGCTGGTTATACAGTCCCCCCCCCACTATCTCCCAGCTAGGTGGTGGAACCGCCTTAGCGCCAGATGGTTTTCTGCCGTTACCGTAAGCTGGCAACCACAGCATCATGGCTGGGGGTCTCCGCCACCTGCTCGGCACATCTGTATTCCTCTATTAAATCTCCGTCTTGTGTGAAAAAATAATTATTGTCTAAGTCCATGTGAACAATTTAATTATTGTAAAACAACTTTAAGGAAACATTTAAATATATATATATATATATATATATATATATATATATATATATATATATATATTGTTGCTATTTTATTGTGAGGTTTCTCGTGAGATATTTAAGGCTCCATTACGTTAATCAAAGGCTCCCACTTCTCGAGGAAATACATGCTCACAGGACGCACCTCTTCACTCCCAGCTGTAGCCGCTAGGGAGCCTCCTTCCGGCACCTGCACTCTATCTTACTGAGGTGTTACACGCACACACACACACACACACACACGCACACATTGAGAGAGTCGGGACCAAAGAGCCAGAGCTCAACCCCCGCAAGCACAATTAGGTGAGTATACACACACACACACACACACACACACACACACACACACACACACACACACACACACACACACACACACAATATCAATATCTGTGTCGCTGGGTTAACAGTGTTGAGGCCAGTGTTGGATGGGTGACCATATGGGCACGGATACCTGGACAATTCTTACATTAAACCTATCTAATGAATATTCTGCTTCTGTTATTATCACATGGTTAAATTCTCACCCAGTTACATATAAATGTGTCCTGGTAGTACAGTTTCTTTATAACATCTGCGAGGTCATCCTAATCTTGCAGGATTGATTGATTGTGATTCTTATGCAAGATAAGTGAGACGCGGCATTAAATCAATAATTATCAAAAGGAAACACTAATAGAGACACACGTCAATATTAATTTTTAATACATGTTCTAGAAATGTTCATTTAACAAATAATCCAATTTTTAGTGCTGATTATGCGACTACATATCTTATCTAAAAACAGACAATACCTTAAAAATCAAGAAGCTTCGAAAGGATACAGTATCTTCAAGATAAGGTGAATAGCATACACAGATATTTGATCTTGACAATGTTTAACTAAGAACACTGATAAATTTACACCATATCTATCAAATATTGATCCAGAAATATGTTTATCACGGCGATTTTTAAAGTGTCCTCTCCTAACCTACCAAGAGGACCCAAAACAGAAAACGGGACAGTATGTCAATTTCGCAAGCCGCTCCCATTTTCTAGTACGACGATTTTTGGCTTAAGGTAGAGTATACGTGAAAATACGACTATATTAGGAGGACGGGTTGCGTGAAGCCGGTCACAAGTGATTATGAGTAGAACTGCTCATGTGTAAGACGAGGACCAGGGAGCGTAAGGTCTGAAACTCTGTTTGCTTCATGCAAAGAAAACAAGGCGAGCTAAAAATGTCAACAATTTAAGACTGCAGGTAATGAATCCCCCAATGGTGAATATTCCAATTGTAAACTATGTGAACATGAGCAGATATGTTTTACACACTGTCCAACACTATATCTGTGATTACCTTGTTATCAAGATTCCAGACCAAATGATATATGAACTATTTTGAGCTCTGTAACTACTTCATACACTCACGAATATTGGATGATATTAATTCTTGTGCTCTACCCCATACATGTACACGTATCTATCGTAATTTAACATGTATACGAAACTTAATTACAAAATCAAGTAACACATTTGTTTGAATTTTCTTATGTAAATGTTTATGGAGCTGATGATCTTATGTTTGTAGCGATGCATATTATTATGTTTCGTATATTTTATAAAGAATGATAAATGTTCAATATTACATAGCTTCTCAGAAATATTTTGTATTTGCGCTGCAGGAGCAAATAATAAAAAGTATATTGTTTGCAGTTAAATGCTTCCTTAATATGAACTTGCAGGTTGTCTTACTCGGTATCTTGTGAATTTTAAATGGGATTACATTCAGTTTAACGCTATTTGTTCTTTGTCCCTTGTTCAGACAAGTCCTAACTCTTATCGGATAATGGATATTGAGTTTTATTATACATGCAAAATATTCCAGCCATAAAGATGATGTTTCCTAGACGATTTTGTGTCAACGTATAGGAGCGGTGATGATAGCAGGTGTAGTGGCCGTCAGTAAGGAACAGTGGGCAGGATACACTACATATGGTCTAGGTGTTGGTACAAAAAACGAGGCATGATTGATATCCTTCCCGAGAGGATTTCTCTTATAAGCGACTCGAGCAAGGCAAAGTAGCTCTTGCGGCCACGTGGCCCAAAGGCGAGATAGCAGTCAGCGTTCGGAAATGGAAGAGATAATTTGGTATTTATGAAAACTTGCTATATACAGTTAAAAATTGTCTAGTAGGTTGCTGAGTTAGTCATGTTTGACATATTAACTCTGACATGATCGGAAAATGCAATTGATTGGAAACCTTTTGTCAATCCAAGAGTTTACTAGCGTATATAACACTCCTTCTAAATATAATTTCAATCTCACTTTTCAGGTAAAATTCTGATTTTAATGTCAAATAAAAATCCCACTATCACATTATTAGTATTTGGAAGTGGCTTCATATGAATTTTAAAGCGTTATTGAAGGAAAATTAAAAGGTATACAGTGGGAGCAGCCACATTATTGGAACGTCTTAGGAAAACATTAGGGTGGCAGCCATATTATCGGTCCAGCAGAGTATCGGTGTACGCCCATTTGGCCTGTGTACCAGTTCACACGTACAATGGAAGAAACTAAAATAATTTATCATATAGATGATGAGGAAACTCCGTATTTAGTGAAAATTCCTAAAGCCCCTGACAAAGTGACGTTATCAGACTTCAAGAATGTACTCAACAGACCAAGTTACAAATTTTTTTTCAAGTCTATGGACGATGATTTTGGGTAAGTTGGAGGTGGCGAAGCATAGCGAAGACTGCATATGTTGATAGAAAGGGCCAAGCTAAACCATTATAGACGAGAACAATGAATAAGCTTGTGTTATATAGACGTATGGGCTATAAATATGACGGGCAAGCCGCGTACCAGCTCGAATATACATTATTTTCATTAGAAAAGCTATCGACTTTTCTAAATAATTTTGACAGAAGAAATTGTTTATTTAGTGGACAGTTTTATATGACTATTGTGAGGTAACAGCCAAGGGAATGGGTGACTAGGAGGCGTTGACATTCAATTTCATTTCAAGTGATGTAATTTATTTGGTTAAACTTCACGGAATACCAGTCACTTGGTAACCAAGAAAGTTCGCCAACAATTTTTAAAGCCTGCCTAGGCTTACCTAACCCATCCTTTCCCATTCCAACATTACCTAAATTAATCATATGCACCCTAATCAAACATAACCAGACTACACCTGATTAAAGTCAACACAGCCTAACCTAACTATATATTAGCTAATAGAAAATAAGCTTTGGCAGAATTCCTGTGTATGATTTTGATCATACACCAAATTTTACAGGTTATGTAAATTATGTGACTGTAGTAAGTGTTCCATTTACCTTAAATGGTGTGTGAATGATTAAAAATTTATATATGGTTTATAAAAAAAAAAAACAGCAGGGCTATATTTGATCAGCAGTTGTAAATGTGCCGCTCTTCTTGCAACTCTTGAAGTCAAAGTTTGGGAGATGAGGTGGTGTCAAGAGGCAGTTGTGCAAACAACTCTTAGACTTGGAGTTTGGGCCTTATTTCTGGAGAAAATGGGGCAATGACAATGTTTGTGTGGATGACTGTGCGATGTATGTAATATACAATGTACATTGGTAGCATTCTATTTATTAAATCACAGATTTGTTTACATATTTGTTAACAATTATTGAAATAATGAAAAGCTCTTATCACTAGTGTAATATGACTGCTGAATGTCTAGCTCTGTAGGTGGTCAGTCAGGTTAAGAACTGCCTATCTGGCTGGTAACTAGATGGGTAACCATATGGACAGGTTAATTATGGGAGCCTGTATATCAATAGCTCTTAATTTATTCACCATTGTATCATAATCATGATTCTAGTTTTTTTTTTCAGTTTGTCATTAATATATTTTATTTTGGCATTATGTTAAACCCATAATTTTACATGAAAAGGTGAATATAACATTGTGTGGAAAAAGTGATCACTTATTACAGTATATTGTAATACTGTCCACCGTCAGAAAACTTAGCCATGTTAGAGTAGTGAAATGCTTTTAAGGAGTAATTAGAGAATTGACCAAATAATGAACACTTACCTACCCCTAAGGATAAAATTTGTTACATACAGGCCCTATGGGTTGCTCCCATTTGAGTTCACCCAGCAGTGAATGTGTGACCTGGTTGTTGAATGATTTGGCAGGTCATATTCTGGGGAAAAATTAGGATTAATGACCTGCTCAAAATGCTATGCGTGATAGTAGCTTTACAAGAAAGTAAAAACTCTTGAATATACAGTATATATATATACTGTATATATATACTGTATATAAATACTGTATATATTGTATATTTATATATAAAAAAGTAGAGGCTCGCAGGGGCACTATGCTATATGGGTAGAGTGTAAACAAATACTGTACACTGCACTGCTTATATAGTTTAGCAAGTTTGTGTAAAATTAGCTTAGCCTGAGATTAACCTACTGTATATGAGAAAACAGGTTTACATCCCAAAAGACCTCATGAAGCCCATTTTGTTCTACTCCTTTCTCACTCAAATATCAGTCTGAACATTATTACTAAGTACAGTACTGTATTCCTGCCACTATCTATCCACATACACAGTACAGTATATTGTATTTACTTCATAAAATAGTTTTGCAAACCAATGATAAAGTAAACTTTATGTACCCTTTGTTTTTGTTATATTTGGGTGAAGCATAGCATTTCAGAAGGTTTGGAGGGTTATGTAATGGAAGAATGTAATAAAACTAAAATATGAAAACTAGCTTCAACTTGCATTTATAAAAACATTTGCATGTGTACTGTATAATGAATTTTGTTGTTACGTATATATAGTGTACCTTGTGTATTGAGAATTTTGCACATCCATGACTTGCGCATAATGAGGACTGACTATAGGCTCTGGTACCTGTCAGTGTTGCACAAAACATTCCTAAATATTATTTTCAGGCCAAATGTGAAGGTCAGGTTATGTAAATTACATTATCTATTAACCATATAGTACACTGTACAGTATGGTATAGTGATAGGACTAATAAATATATGTTTTTTTATGAATAATGGTCAGAGACCATGGGATGTCAGAGTAATTAATTGAATGATAAATTGATATACTATATTGTGTGTGTATTTATGTGTACTGTATTTACTATTTGTGCCTGCAGGATTGGTCTGTTAGCTCTTATACTTTCTAACCATCAATTGTCTAGTATATTGACTCCCAACCTATTTTCCTCTATTATATCGACTACATATATATTTCTCTCTGAAACACATATGCACATTCCTAGGATGCAGCTTGTAGCAGCTGCCTAACTCTCAGGTATAGTATTTGTTTACTGCTAGGTAAATGGGGATATCAGGTAAAAGAAAACTCTGCCCATTTGTTTGGTCCTCATCTGGGAATTAAACCTGGGCCCTTAGGACTACAGTATGACTGTCATCTCTGTACAGTACAGTACAGTACTTTACAAAAAAAAGGCAAAGAGTTTGTTCAAGCTAATTAACATTAAACATTGATGGTGTTAATTAGCATAATATTGGATGATTTAGGTTTTTATCAGTTGTCATGGTTGATTATAGCTGAAGCAAAGTATGAAGCTTTTACCAATTTGTGGTAAAATTTTGAATTGTTTATTGGCTGTTTGAAAGTTTTAACAATGTATATACATGATTCATCACTTAGTGTCATTTTTAAAGCTTAGATTTGCTTTATAAACTTGTAAGTTAATGGCATTGCACTATTTCTTTCTTATACCATTCATACTCATAGTCATTCCCAAAATGACCCATACTTTTTTTTCCATTAAGGTTGCATTATTAGGTGAGGAGCTTCCCTGGACCTGCAAGGTGCCCTAAAGACAAAACTGGCAGTTTGGGGAGTCCAGAAGGCTTGACCATTTGAGATAGGCCACCAGTATTGAGATGTCTGGCCAGAAGAATACTCTGATACAGGCTCCTACAGGGCTTATTGGGGTCTTGATAAAATCTTTTGAAAATACTTGGCTATCATGTAATGCAAAGGTGAACAAGTTAATATGACATTAATACAAAAATAAACTGTAAGCAATGAATACAAATCATAAAGATTTACTGGTGTACTGAAGACAGCTGCCATACCACTACGGCATCAGACACACGGCATTGGCTGAAGTCAGACAACGGGTGAGACACCAAGGTGTTCCAAGAGCACTAAGGGAAAGAGTGGTTCTCCAGGGAGGCGGCGCCCTTTATATAGTCCAGCAGTGATGACTCAGCCAGTGTCAACACAAGGTGGACATCTGGTCAACTAGTAAACTGCTTGTTAGTGGCTGGCGGTGCCTTTGTGTTGAGCTGCACCACTGCGAGTTGAAGGTGGCTAACTGCTTGTTTGGGGGCCAACTACTGGTTAGCAGAGGCGCCCGGCTTACCTCTGAGTCATACCAGGCCATGCCAGGCCCTGGAGGGTACAGAGAGGTAGATAGGTGGCAGGACTGATGACTCATCTGGGCTGGTGTAGATGTAGACTTCCAGTGCAGAGGCATTGAAGGTGAAGGGAAAAGGCAGTTCCACTGCTATGCAGGGGATTCATGTGACACTTCTATTTTGCATTATTTGTGGGGGTTCCATCACTTGTGGGGGTTCCAGTGGAAGAGCCTTGAATTGACCAAAGGTCAAGGATGCCGTAGCATCCATACTGTCATTCCCATGGCTGCCTAAGCGAGTCAGACCATTTGAGGCGGAGGCACCACACTGGATTCTAAAAGTAGTACTGTTCAGAAGTACTGTTCACTCTTCTGAATCTTTCTCAATCATCTGTTGAAAAACTAGGATATCTGAGGTGATGAGGTAAAGGGTAGTCTTGAAGTCTAAGAATGCCTCAACATAATGTGATTAGGCAACCAAATAGAGAAAACTAAAGCACCTTGAAGACTGCTAGGCTTGTGGGTCTTGAAGGAAGCTTCCATGTTTGATAGATGGATAACTAGCTGAAGTATCCTGTGACAGTGTTCAAAGGCAGGTCCTCTGTATGTGATCAGTCTGATCACATACAGAAAGTAGCTGTGAAAAGTAGAAAGTAATAATGCAAGAACTAACAAAAGAAACTCATCTACTTTACCAGTTTGTTTCCCACTCCCTAGCCTGCACAATTTCGACTGGTGGGTGACTCACAAGAAAGTCACTGAGCATGAAGCTGCAATGGCTAACAGCAGTCGCTGAGGAGCTTGTTGAAGTGGCAAAACCCTAGACTGCAAAGCTGAAAGGGGATAGAAAAAGACATTGCTTTAGGGCAATGCTGAGGACTGCATGCTATGGTGACTAATGCCTCTGGAGGACTGAGGGGGCAGGCTGAGCCATAAATAGTAGGCTCATAGTTGATCCATTCATTGGATTCAGGTAGCTCAGAGGAACATTGTAAGGTGGCCATGTGAAAGCTGCATCATTCCATACTGCCCCAAATCTCTTGGCCAGGATGTTGAGGATCTTCCTGCAGATGAGGATCATAGTCATTCACATACTGTATAGAATATCCATACGAATTGGTCTGAACATTAGCATGATGAGCTCTGTATTGATCCTTGAACTCTTTTGAGTAATTAATTGAAAAAACAACACCAAACGCTCAACTGAGACTTTGAAAAACCGATCCTTAAGAAAGCTCTGGATCCATCAGAGTAGAGGTCCCAAAGCCCCTTGTTAAGAAATACTACATGTATGGTTAATAACTAATAATAATAATAATAATAATAATAATAATAATAATAATAAATAATAACACTAATAATAGAAGTTATTTTTATTATTTAAGGAAGATTACATACATGAAAACAATACATGAACACTGGAGGAGTCGAGTAACATAAGTACAGTATTGTAGGTGTTTTATAAGTCAAAGACAGTTCCATTTTGTGATCAGTAATTCTATGAAAATAAAATTACAATGGTTACAGTCAGTACTTATTTTTCAATTACTGTACTTTTACTTTCAATTCTGTCTCATTAAATACAATTCAATTCTGTCTCGCTAAACATATGTAAGAAGTTTCCAAATACTATAGCATGAACTAGTTTGTTTAAAATTTAGAGCACATGGCTTTGCATTACTTTCTCTTAAGTTGTTTGTAGTGATGTTCTGTCATTTTGCTTTTCAGGGTAGTTAAAGAAGAAATAATAGATGACGATGCACCGCTTCCATGTTTCAATGGCAGAGTAGTTTCATGGGTAAGTGTTTATGAAGTTAACAGATTTTGAATTATTATTAATAGTGCTTTTGCTATTTTAAAACTAGGAAAAACATGCCAGAAACCATAGATGCAAGAAAATAAGCCACTGCTTGAAATAAATTAGGCATCTCTTAGGTAAACAACCTAAATATTCGGTTCCATGGAGTAAATACTTTAACTGCGATGCTCCCAACCATCAACAGATGGTACAGCAGCTTAGTTGAATTTTCTGAGTTCAGTTTAATGGAGCTGTCCTCCTTCGGCGATCAGACTGTGTTCGATTGTGTCAGCCCTCGGTTGGGCCTTTGTCTCCAGCTCTCCCTGTGCTGGTTCATGTCTGTGGCCTCTTTGCCCATGGTGCTTCTGCACATCTATCCTGTGGGGCTTTGCTCTACATTTTCTTTTTGGTTGTGCCTTTCATTCTGGCCTCTTCTAGGGTGGGAGGTTCAGCTTACAGTATTTCCTTCTCACTTGGGGCTGATATCCGAGATTAGAAGCCAAGAAGCCAGAAGCATAGCTTCTGACTTTTCAGGTTTCATTCTCCAAAGCCATTCCTGCTCGAGGCATTTTGACCATTCTCATGGTGTGTCTTCTTTCTGTAAGTTCAGTCAGAGTGGAAGGCAAATGAGGTCTTGTTCTTTTGGCATTGTGGGCTGTTTGGCAATTCATAGGCGAGTCTGCCTCCGCATGCCCTTTTCATGTGAACCCTCGGTAACTCCCCATCCCTGCCCAATTACCTTTTTACCTGTGAGGTTGTGGGGCATTGTGTGGGCAGCTCCAGAATGAGAGGAGGGGGGGGAGGTTTAGGTGTAGGCTGGCTGAAACCACAGGTGACCTGAGCTGTCTTCGGGTGTCTGTTGGGAATATCACAGTGAGGGTATTTATTGTTTAACTGATCTAACTGATTGATTCAGGTACATGATCATTTATTGATCATGTACCTGAATTTACCTTAGGGCCACCATCTCTGGTGGCCTCGATGAATACAGGAAGCCAACAGCTCGTCAAAGGTCTGCTCTATTTTCCTGATGGTTTTATCTTGAACTGCAGCAATTTTTTACATTTACAGCTTTGGTAAAAAGCCAGTTCCATTTTCAACCCATTGGGTAAAAATGCATTGCCTGTTTTGTGTCCTACATTGTGGCTTGTTGAGCATGATGCCATTGCTTCAATGGTTTGTGTGTCGTGTGCTACAGTTGACTTTTTGAGGAAAGGGTCGATCAGTATCCTCCAAATTGTACAGTATACTGTATTTTAAAAGTTTCGATGAAATCAGCCTTGTCATGCCTGGTTTGCAGCGTAAAACCAAACCTTCAACCGTTTCTAGTATGGGAGTCGACTTAGTTCTGAGATTGAATTCTGCTGTACATTTTGTGCTATGGTGAGTTTTTTTTACTTCGATCCCCTGCTTCCCTTGCCTCAGAGATCTGCTGGATGGGGTTCTGGGAGTTCTTCTATTCCCTAAGTCTGGCCAGGGGCTAGGCTTGACTTATGAGAGCTTGGTCTAATAGGCTGTTGCTTGAAGCAGCTCGCAGGCCCACATATTCACGACAACCCGGGTGGTCTGGCAATTCTTGAAGAAAACTATCTAGTTTTCTCTTGAAGTCCACGTTTGTTCCAGCAATATTTCTTATACTCGCTGGGAGTATGTTGAACAACCGTGGACCTCTGATGTTTATGCAGTGTTCTCTGATTGTGCCTATGGCACCCCTGCTTTTCACTGGGTCTATTCTGCATTTTCTTCCATATTGTTCACTCCATTATGTTATTTTACTGTGTAGATTTGGGACATTGCCCTCCAGTATTTTTCATGTGTATATTATTTGATGTATCTCCTTTATCTCCTATGTATCTCTCATCTCCTTTCTAGTGAGTACATTTGGAGAGCTTTGAGACACTCCCAGTAATTTTGAGCTGATTCTGGTGCTGGCTTCTGATATGCTATAGATGGGTCTAAGAGGTCTTGGTAACACTAGAGATAAGTTATGAAAGCTACTAGGGGTTCACTAGAAAAGAGCATTTCACTACATTCAACACGATTTTTATTCTCCATTTTTGCTTGAATAATTTTGAAATATGAATCTTTGAATTCAATATTTCTTAATTTCTTACAAATTCAGGCACACACTGCAGAAGATTCCTGCTTGAGTGGCACTGATTCATCCAGAAATTCAGATGCAGCTGAATCAACTGCTTCCAGTAGTTAAACCTGGCTGACTTTGCACTTGAAAAGGACTGGAACCCATTGAGATGTGTACAGTGTATAAAATTTTACTGAATACCGAACACTAAAATACAGCTGTGTTATAATTACTAAACAATAAGTAAATTTCACTTAAAATATAATGCTCAATAATTTAGAAATTTGTTTGAAACAACTTAGTAATGTTTCGGGTGTACCATGTCCTAATTTTCTTTTATGCTCACTTAGGTTTAATAGTAAGCACTATTAAAAATAGTTAATTAAATTTGTGTTTATGCATCTCCATGCACTACATGTGCTCTCTTTCATATTACTGCAAGATGATATTCTGTCATCTAATGGATTGTTGTGATTTTCTTATTGAAATGTACTCACTTTCAGTTGGAAAGATGTATAATAGAAGCAGTAGTCAGGCTGGAGGAGGTAGAGAGAAGATGTAAATTATAAAAGTTGGAAATTTGTGAAGAAACTTGAGCTGGCATATTATAATAACTTGCCAGAGAACTATGGGATTGATACCACTGCTTTCTGATACATGAAAGCAAAAGCATCTTTTTAAAGTTTGCTGCTAACAGAAATTCTAGGTCCTAATAGTAGGGAGCGGAAAATCCTCTCGACTCTTGCACGTGATCTTGGGTGGTGTCATGTACAAGTGGTTTACAAAGCAGTGTACTGCAGGTGTGCTAGTGATGGGAGATCAACATAGAGGTTTGCATATAATGAGTATTTCTAAGTTCCAGGCTGGCAGTGGCTGGGTTTCTATATTTAAACAATGGCATGCAATTAGTGGCTGAGATATCTTGTGTGCAGATAGGGAGCATGTTGACCCTTTTAAAAGGAAATTTAGGGATGTAAATGGGTGGTAACAATTTCCACTTTTTCCAGATTTACAATGCATATGAGACTGGTTATAACTTGTGAGCTGCACCAAATATAACTCTGGCTAGTAGGCTAGAGGAGACTGTGCCAGTGAGAAAAAAATGTAAAGAAAGAATCTTGACTTTGTATAAGCAAATCAAATGCAGAAGGGCCTTACCACAGAAGGAACAGTGGGCAGTACTAGGCAAGGCTGCAAAATCCAATGCATTAACAAATTTCATCCACAACCTTCCTGTAGCCTACTATCACTCACGAAGTGCTTGGTTTGTTAAGGATATTTTTTTAACCAATATCAATATTAAATTTTGCATAGAGTTCTGTGAATATCAAATGCAGCAAAGGGGACTCCGGGTACATCACATTTAATCATTGTTGTTATGTGATAATACCTCATGCATACCAAGTTATTGAAAATAAAGATTCAAATGATGACAAGGTAGTAGGTATGGTTTACCGTAAATCACTGCTTTTCTGATCCAACTCGTGGATCAAGGTATCATATATGCAGTTGTGTAAACCTGTATAAAGAAGGCATGGTGGGCAAGTTAACAACTTGGAAGCAATATGCAACTGAGTACATGAGGTAAAAATACATCACATTAAAATGTATATATGAAATATGCTTTTAACTTCAGCTGAAATAACTACCATAGGTTACAGGTAAAGGTGAGGGCAATGACTTGCAGGATTTGATGTTGAGGTGCATAAGATGTTTAGTGACTGGTGAAGATACTGACTTGTGAAATAGATGAAGGGTTCAAGTGTGCCAACTGGTCCAGTTTATGGGATGTTGACAGAGAAGATATAATTACTATATCAGTATGATAAGAAATGTTTGCTTGGAAACCACACACACAGTACATACATAAGATGGCACTAGCACTCCTTCATGCACACTCTTTGCTACACCGACCAATATGTGTACTGCATAATTTGATTTATATGGTTTTTCCACAGTGTTTTGGATAGGAAGTATGTATGGCTTACCATGGTTCTCTTAGGTGAATAACTATCCTTACCAGGATGCAACCCACAACAGTTACCTGGCTCCTAGATGAACATAGGCATCAGGTGTAAGGTATTGTACCCAAACATCTCATCCTGTGTGGGAATTGAACATGGGACCCAACAATATATCTTACGAGTCTGTCATTACTAGTACAGTACTGTACTTTTAATTACTGTACTGTACAGTCTGAAGTAATGTCTTCCCTTAAAAGTACTGTAGTTTTTAGGTGGTAATTTCCTGTTTTATCTGTTGTTTTTAATTTCATTATGTACTTGCCTTCCTGCCATAATAAAATGGGACAATATTGGTGGTGATCAATATTGGGTGCAGTTTATAGTGCATAGTTATTATATAACTATTATATTATTATTATTATATTATAGTTATTATATAACTATAATAGTGCAGTTTCTTATTGCTGCTTTTCTGTTTGCAGATTGTATCAGCAGATAGCAGTGTTGTATCAGATAATGTATCACAGTGTGCCGAAGTTGAGGGCGGCCGGCCGCCTGCATACCAGTGAGTTTGTTTTAAAAAGCGAAATGTTTAATTGGGTTGAATTTTAGAAAACTGTACAGTGGATATGTCAGTATATATATTGTAATCTTGTCAGTTTGCCTGGGGTATTCAGTATGTCTCCAAGAATGCCAGTGAAATAATCTGACGGAGCTACTTAAGTGCTACCCAGAAAGGCTCATTTCATTTCCCACATTGCTCCGGGGTGATACTTTTATATGTCACAAAAGTAACATAAGTAACGGGAATGGGGTAATACCGATGATTACATATTCCTTATCACATAATCTGAAAAAAATTAACTGATATTTTATCATAGAGATCGTATCAGTTATTTCTATTGAGGGAAAACCATAAACATCCTTGCAACTAGCCATGGTATGTTAGGAATTAAAGATGTAAATCCAATCCATGCAATCTGAACATAGTTAAATATGAAAAAAATGATTGTTTGTTATTATGAGAATTATAAATAACATGTAAATGTTGTGAGTACATAAGATTCTTGGTCATGTTTTGTTTAAGGGCTAGCTGGCAGGTTGATGAGTGGTGGCCACCCACCACCTGCCTCACCCACCTCTACTCTTGCCTCATCATTAATTGGCATAATCAACCTGTCCACACTAATGTACTTTTATCATCAAGCAAAACCAGTTAAAAATACATTTTCCTAATGCCTAACACTATATATATATAACAACAAATTTCATCATGCTTAATAAGTGAGGAGTTTGTAACAGTGATTTCAAAATATTTTCTGCAAGGAAAGTGTTTTTCTGATTTTCTTAAGTGCTATCTGACATATCCCCCAGTGATGTCAGATGATCTTTTCTTTAATTACAGTATCTGGATTTTCATTTATCTGGACATCTGGAGGTACCGATTGGTCTGGGTAACTGGGATTGCATTGTAATTCATTGGATGGATGAGATTTTTCTAAGTTCTGCCTCTCTTCTACCCCCACCATCTCCCCCCACCCATCCACTGCCCCTCATTAAATTTTTTGTATCCTTACTTTCATTGGTTAAAGTTGGAAGGAGTGGAATGCATTACCTTAATTCTTTATTCACCTTATAAAGTTTTTCTCCAACAATTATATTTTTGTAATGATTGTCACCTTCCTCTGTGACTGCAGTCATATCCTTTATTTGCACACATCTAATACAGTATTTAAATTTTCTGGTCTCCTCTAGTACCTGAGTGTTTAATATTACATGAATACTAATGGATAGATGTCTCAACAGCCATGGAGATACAACGAGTCAACTTGAGGACTCGACTTGTACAGAAACTGAGAGCGTCATCTCCACTCGGAGAGGTGAGCATGGTACGCATCATCTATATTCTTAGTTTTGGCAGTTTTGGCTCAGTTTATTTGTGTAGCTGTGTATTATCTTGAAATACTAATGCAGAAGTAGATCTGTTAGTATAATGTGTGTGTGTGTGTAGCAGTTTTATATATGCTTATCATTAAAACATTATTAATGATCCTTGGTAGCTATGCAGCTGAAACCTTCTTTTTTGGGGAAATAGGAAATTAACAATATACACTGTATTATCAAATTATTTTCTGCTGTTTTCATGGGACACTGATGATTTGGGGATTGAAGGGGACTGCTGAATGTGTAGGGCTCATTCTTGTTCGTATAACTAATTATTATATAGGCTGTGTAGTTACTTAGAGGTTTGAGATATGATAGTCACTTGATTGGTTACATATTGGCAAAACAAAAATACAGTAATACACATTCATCATTTAATGCAACAAAGTCAGATATATTAGACAATATGTCTGGTTTTGAGAATTATACAGTTAAATTTGAGTTTCCTAAAAAAAAATATTCCAAAAAGAATTTATTGAAAGTGTAGCTAACCACGTTGAAGAGTACCGTATATTGTATATTAATTAATTTGATTACATCCAAATCTAAAAATGGCTATTTAGTGTTTTTACTCAGTTGGCTAAAAGAGTGCTCTTCTTAAAAACAGATACTCATCTTAGGAGCTTTGATTCTTTTAAGTACTTGTGTTATTTTGTTTTATATGCATCTATTAAAGGTGTTAATAACTTCAAATAATTTTCCTCTTTTTGCAAGAAACTGTAATGAGTAGTGATTGCATCGATTGAGCTTGGTACTGTACTTTGAAGCATGTAAGATTAAACAGAATTATAAACTTTGATCTGGATATATATAGTAGATTTTTTCAAATGTTTTCATCAGTGCTTCATAGGTAGTGTAATAATATACTCTTGACGATAAATGGCTTTGGATAACATACAGGGATGCCTCAAAAATATGGATTATATCATTTCAGACCCAGTACTTAAAATCCAGAATTCTGGAAATTTGGTCTTATTTTGGTGTATTTACCAAAAAGTCTTCATTTTCTAATAGCAGGTAATACAGTACATATTTACACATATGTAGAGAGGCAACTAATATAGAAACAATGATTTTGGTGTGGTACAAATAGTATTTATAATGTATAAATTTAAAAAAAAATTATTTTTATATTTTAGAGTACATGCTGGTTATCTTAATCTAGTGATAGCAGAACGCACTTAAATATTGTACAGTACGTATAATACAATACTAAACCTTTTAACACAGTACTGTCACTACATATTTTACATTTACTGTAAATGTAAAATACAAAACTAAGTTACAAGAATTTACAGGTCATAACCTTGAAACAAAAATGGCATTTTGCAATGAGTAAATAATTAATGAAGCTGATCATACAATAGGGATTACAAGAATTCTCAAAACTATTACAGGCAAACTACAGGTGGCAGTTGTTCTATTATTCTCTCTACCTTCTTCCCATTCTCATTACACTTGCTGGGGGGTAAACCAGTTCACCTGCAAATCCTCCTTAGTCCTTACTCCTTACCAGTTTTCCATCAGTTGCAAATATTGACATGTAGGAGCTTGCCTCCTCATGTAGATTGTTTACATAAAGCAAGACAAATATTGGTGCATGGAGCCTAGGATGAGCCTGCATATCCTGCTTGCTGCTAATATCTGCTATATTTCTCACTATTATCCTGTTTCCTCTGTCAGGTATTTATTTAAATCAATACCCTCCCAATTATTCCTGCTTGTATCTCCATCTTGTAGGCTTTGACTCCAGAGGTGGAGTCTACAGATGGGCTAAGGCCTACTTACAAGGAGTGAAAACAGATTATGAATTAGTGGAATTCTAACGGTGAGAATTCTAACAGTGTTATAAAAGCAAAGTAAACCCTTGTTTCAAGAGGCAGTACAGGGATGAGGATAACAGGACCAGAAAGGCATGGAAAAGTTACAATGAATTCGGTATGGCGGACAGTACCAGTAGAGCACTTCAGAGAATTGTACATAGTCAGGAGAGCAGCAGAGCAGCAGTTTGGAAATGACATAGCAGTAAAAGCTAAGAATTAACCATAGTTGATGTATTGCCATATACAGTATGTTGAAAAATAAAAGAAAATATCATGCAATCAGCCTAAAGAGGCAATGGAGCATTGCCACAGAAAGCATCAAAGAAGTGTTTAAGGAGTTCAACAAGAGATTCCAGGAGGTCAAAATAAAATTAGAGTAGAAACAGTGTGGGAGATGATGTGCGGCACAAAGCAACATTAGGCAATAAAAAACAATTGCTGCAAAAAAGATAAAAACTGGACACAACAAAAGCAGTCTAGTCAGACCTAACATCACTGGCTGCTGAAGGTGGATGCAGAAATACCTTGTCACTCAAGATTTTTAATAACAAATTCAATTGGAGATCTTCCAAAAATTTAGAACAAGGCAAATATAGTCCTAATATTAAAAAAAAAAGGTACAAACAGTAGACACTAAATTGTAGACTGGTGTCACTGACTTGCATTTATATTACAATACTGGAGATACTAATTGGGAAAAGAATAACAAATCACATGGACAGGATAAACTTTTTTAATGAAGATGCAGGATGCTTTTAGGTTGGAAATTTGTGGTTAACAAATTTGATTAATTTTCTACGACAAGGTCATCTAAATGTGACAGGAGAATGAAAGCTACGTGGACTACACCATCTTGACTATTCAAAAAGCACTTGATAAGGTTTCTCACAATAGGCTGGTGTATAAGAGGGAGAGAAGATTGTATAACTGCAATAACACTAAACTGGGTAAGGTGGCACACATTAGACAGAAAACAAGTGTTTGCAGTTAGAGAAAGTGTCTAGTGAAGCACAAACAGAATATTAAAAAAATCCAGAGATTTGCAGTAAAGCTACTGTAGTGCTTGTACTAAGAGGTCTGAGCTTGAAGACAGGCTCAGGGAACTCTGTTTAACAACTCTAGAAGATTGAAGGGCCATATGGGACATTCCACCAAAATATTGAGAGGGGGATATCCATGGTGGACAAGGACGGCCTTAAATTGAGGGAAATTGTACTTCCTTCTTGCTTGGAGGCACCTCTTTTATCAAACCATTAGCCTGTTTTATACTTTTTCAAAAGTCTGTTAATGGTACGGACATCTCAGTTTGCATTTTCCAGATTGGCTTTTCATTTAGCTTAGACCTCTTAGTTTGGGCACTAGCTGTGTTGCAATCCTCTGGACCTTTTCAGTCTATAGTTTATGCTTCCCAAGATGTGGGCAAGATGTGGGTTCTTTGCCAGTGCTATGTATTCTAGGATTGGTCTGATGTAAGCTGTGCACCTTATTTTGTGTTGAAAGTGTCCTTGTTTTGGTTTTAAATGCTATTCTTAGATTTGCCGGTGTCCCATATACTCAATGTGTCTGTCTACTTAACAGCATGAACTGTTCTTAATTACCAGAGTCTTCAGGTTCAGGCTTCAGCACCAGGGGCCCCTTCTTTTCAAACTGTGCTTTTGCATCCAAATATATATTCTAAACTGTCCCATTTGGCTGCTTCCTAAGAGGAAATCTGCTGTGTCTATAAGACAGGATCATGTACAGTCAGGCAGGACAATGTACTTGGCTCCAGCTCCCAAAGGGTTTTCTCAAACATTCACTGGAGAGGTCATTATAGATGCTAGGGAGTTCCTATAAACCATTTAATCCAACTGGCCTTATGGCCACATACTCTGACAGCTGCTAGGCAACAGCACCATAGGGCAGGCACCATAGGGCAGGCTTGTAGGGCAGGAAGAGTTATGTTAGATTTTCTGACCTGGTGCTTTGGCTGTAGGACCTTCAGCTCCTTTTGGTGGAAAGCATTCAGGTTTCTAGCTTTCACCTAGCTTTCATTGATTCACAGTCAATGCAGGACCTGAAACTTTTTATCTAAGGAACAAGGACCCTGCTTATGTAGTGGACCTGGCTTTCCTGGAGTTCGAGTTGCCATTTATTTCTTGACTGCAGTATCAGACATTAGATTCTTCTTGGATGTTTGTCATTCCTTCTCTTCCAGTGTCTGAAGATAGTCTTCTATCCTCAGAAGCTGGAAAAGCGTCTTCATTTGCAGGATGTTGAATGCGTTGGTAAACAGCCCCTTCCGATTTTATTGAATTTGGATGGATCGCTAAATAAACACCAATATCCTTGCAGCAGATATGTGAAGTATCATATATATCCGGCATTCATCAGTAAGACTTCATCTCCACTGAAAACAAGCTTTAACTTGTGTTTTTAATTCGTTTATATGGTCATAATGCATTTGCAATGGATGCAATACTTCATGATCAGAGCCAGGGGGAGTTTTCATGTGTCTTCCTCAGTTAAGATGCTATTATAGTCCTGCAGAAGATTGAGAAGAGCATCATGGTCTTGCATACTGATCTGGCCAGTACAACCTTGGTATACAGTACTGTTGGTCACCTGTGATGCTTAGTGTGTTCAGAAAGTTCTCGAGAATGGACCTCTATTGATTTGTTTTTGGATGAAATAAAGGTTATCCAGTGACATTCTTGTGCCTACAATGGCCCTGTAGTGACCACTTGTAGTGACCCTGTGGTGCTGGTACTGAGTTTGTCACCCTGCCTGACTCTACATGATTCTGTCCTATAGACACAGCAATTATTATATTAGGGAGCAATTGAATGTTTTTGCTCAGAAAGGGGCTTTTCATATTCACACACTTATTTTTTTAATGGAAGATTAATCTTGAAGTTAAACATTACATAAAATCTTGGCATGTTGAATATAAGGTTATCAAGAATTAGATTGCCTTTATAATGGTTATTAATATTTTGTGTGATGTCATTCAATGTAATGAAATACGAGAAAGCTGAAGTAAGATCTTTACTTTCTTGTAGATTTCTGGTGTAAGGAAAATTAACATTTTTACAAGCACTGTTTTAAATATACTGTAGAATATGTTACATGATGAGTTGGATGGTGAATATTATTGTTTTTTCTTTGGAATTAGGCTATTATTTCCTATTTAGAAAACTATTATTGGTCTCAAATAATAAAGATGAGTTGCATGAGGAATGCCAGCACTGGTTGACTGTAAATATACGATACTTTAAGCTGGGGGTTTCTTATCGTTATCATAACCCCTTTGCTTTAGAAACACTTAGGTGTTATAGTTTTTCTTTGTTGTTTTCATTATAAACTGCTTTCAATAAGATTCATCATGTTTTATAATGAGTTTCATAGATCATTTCATCCCAATCTCCTATGTTTTTTGCCATTTAGTTTACAGTATGTTTTGTTAATTTTTATTTTTAGAGCGGCACCACAGAAGCTCGCGACACCATAAGTATGATAAATACAATGATCGACACTTTGTGGATCGTAAGTATCTTTTTGAGAATTGGCGATGAAAAATAATCAACTTTGGCTAAGCCTCCTACTTTCCGCAGACCTGTCATTACAGTGCCTTGTGCTTTGTCAATGTAACTTTAAATCTTGAGCATCATTCCCTGCATTTGAAAGAAGTGCTGCCCTCTATCTGGTTTAGGTGCCTACTGAGCAAAGATAGATTTCGATTGACCAGGTTTATGCAAGTGCTTTGGATATATTTTATTCCTGCTCGTATATGGGGTATGAATTCTAGTGCATTAAGCTAACTAGGCAGTGGATATTACTATCATTCATATGTAATAGATGCTTGTGCATAAACCTTATGGAAACAAAAAGGCATCTTTTATGGAAGTGACTGTTTTAGTTACAAAATTCTTTTATACTGGGGTGTAAAATTTGCAGATCATATATGAATCAATGTGGTGCAAGTTGATGCTCTTTGTGAAAATGAAAATGCTGTCACATATATTTAATCTAAAGGTGCCTTAATATGGGTTAGTCTGCTTGTTTTTTAGAGTAGCATGTTTGTACAACACTTCTCTCTCGACATACTGTCCCTAGACACCATTTTTTGTTTCATTATTTTTGTTTGCAATCATTACCTCAGTTTCTATAATTTGGTGTTTAAACGTTAGAGACGTGAAGTTCAGTAATTTGATTGTTGTATTACTGAAGTTTGTGCCTTTTGTTTGTACTTTTTTTTTTTTGCACATGATCAGTGTTACATTGATCACCAATGTATATTTGGTTAATAAAGCATGATGTGTTTTACTTGTGTAATTTGTTTTACAAACTAAGGCATTTTGGAGTTTTACAATTTTGAATACCTTTACAGTGAGGTTTTACAAGCATGTCAAAATTCATCTAGCTGATGATTTCAAAGCTAATCATTGAATTTCTCATATACTGACTTAAGAATTTGAAGACAACATTCTTCAAAATGGCAAATAATATGTTTGTGTTAGTTGTGAAGAAATTGCTGTACATCCCTGTGTCAATTTTAAGCTCACTGCTTATAGGTAATAATACCTACAGATTTTAGTTTGTTTGAAAGAACATAATCAGTAATTGCAAATAGGTGCATATGTGACATTTAGGATCTATATATATTTATATAAGAATCCACAATATCAGTTATTTACCATTGTAGAAATACTGTATGATTCTGCCGAGTGGTATAAATGAATATATTTGTTGCCTAAAGCATAACACTTTGTTAACTGCATGTAGTGCAGTAGGATATGAAGCCAGTAGCGGGTGTTGCTGCTGCTGTTATGTGGACGTTGTTGTTAGGATTAAGATTGTGATGAATGCACAAGCTTCTTATTCCTCTACATGAGGCATATTATAGATGCAATGTTGTACGTATATGTTTATGCCTTCAGCTTTTTTGCTCTTATTGGAGAGGGCAGCGAGGTTTCAGTCAACTTTTTGTTGAAAATATTGTCAACTGTGTAAAATCAAATATTGCAGGAAGACTTCTTTGAATTGTGCCTTAGTATTACTACATTTCTTAGCTAGTGTGTCAGTGATTTAAAGCTCCATAATAGTAAATTTCAGAAGTAGAAATGTTTGTTGTGAATTGTCCCTTATCTTTGCACTAGCAAGATTCTAAAAGGCAAGGGGGGTTTGAGAGCTCGTGCAAGGAAATACAAATAGATTACAAAGGATTTCTTAAGTTTAAGTATTTGTGCTAAATAATTATGTAAGGTAACAAACTATCAAAAATACATCTGCATGTATACTTCCAAAAGTTTTAATTCAATTTTATATAAGAAAGGAATTCAAATAAATTTTTGTCTTAAATAAAATTTATTGACATTCATTTACAATGGAATCTCGAATCAGCGAACCTTGATTTGGTGAATCTCCAGTTGGAACATAGTTTCCATGCCAATATTTACTCTCTCGATTAAACGAACAAGAGCTCGCTGAATGTATGTGAATGTAGCAGGGGATGTATGTGAATTTGTTTATGATGGGACATAGTTCATAGATGGAGGCAACAGTACAAGAAATAGTTTGGCCTTGGGAAAGTCACTGAGCATATTTCAAACCAAATTCTATGGTGGCTCATTTTTTTTCAGTTGCAGAAGATTTTGTTCAGTAAAGTAGGGGCTCTTGTTCCTTTGAAAATGAGATTTTGAGGCTTGGGCATGGGAAATATGCTAGATTGTAGTAAAATCTCTTTACAGACAGGTTCTCTTGGTAATTGTCTTTCATATAACAGGTTAAAATTAACATTTTGCTGAGTGAAGTCAATCCTTAGACCATCGGAAATATTAGGGTATGAATGGTAACTATTAATATGGCTCCAATCATGGTTTTGAGGATTTTTGTAGATGGACTCAACATTCCAAGAAACAGTCGGAGCCTTGGGAACACTATTAAGGATATTTAAACCCAAGTTTTATGGTTTGTTTTTATTCTGAGTTCGCAAGGTTTTCATTCACTCAGATATGGCCCTGCTAGCTTTTGAAAATGAGTTTTGATGCTGGGAATGCGAGACATAAGCTAGATGTGGTTAAATTTATTTGCAAATGTCTTCATTTGGTAGTTGTCTATTATAGGTTGACATAAAAATTTTGCCAAGTGAAATCAGCCCCTTGGGCATTGAAAATGCATCCTGGAGGCATCTCCGGTTGCCACAAATCCCTCACTGCAACGAATTGGGGTTGGTCCCATATAGTTCGTTGAATCGAGGTGGTTGTTGTCCTTTGACAGGTCACCTGTTATGCAAGTCATGAAATTTCTTGGCAAGATGGTACTTGCTTATAAATCTTTCCTACTTAAAGCTCAATAGATGAATAGTATATTTGTGGCTGGAAAGTGATGGGAATTCAGTTCATACTTATAAAAGGATTGAGATCAAACCAATGTCTGACATCTCCAGTGGATTTACATGCTGGTTTTCAATCATACTAAGTTAATGTTGTGATATGTACATAAAATGCAACCAGCAATTTCTCTTCAATACATAAAAATATCACTGTAATGTCATTTTAATGAATGAAGTGTGGCATATTCAGAATTTTATGGTTACAACTTTGAAATTTTACAAGGAATAGACAAAAATAACAAAATTACCAATTGAGAATTATTCTGGGAGCCAGATTTATAACAAAATCACAACAAACACCAAGACTATCTAGAGGTTGCAGGACTTATTGATTATTCTGTTATTTTCCTCTTTCCTCATTATGTTACCTCACTGCCCTCCCTTAAACTCGACTTTCATTGTTGTGTGAGCCACAGCTCATAAACAGGATTAACAATAAATTTAATAAAAATTTATCTCTTTTTAAGTATTAAAGATTTATTTATTCTAGGTAAATTTAATAATTTGTATATAGTGAATTCCTGCTCTAATGAAAGTCAGCCCTCCATTAAATCAGTTGCGATGAAATTATTTCAATCAGGTTGTAGTTGGATGCTAAGGACTAGGCATCTAGACTGTAGAGAAATTCCCACTCAATCTATGTTATGATGCATATAAATAATCAATTTATTTTTAATTTTGTTTTAATTAGATTTTTCCCATGTGATTTTGATTTTGAAATACTGTACTGTTCAGTACAGTATTTCCTTTTATGCTTAATTTATGCAATAATTAAAACGTTCAAAATTCTCTTAATATTGGTTGTGCCAGTAATGTTTACTGTTTGTGTGTTAGCTTAACTGAACACTGTTTGGATGCCCTTGTCAGGCTATTTTCATCTTTTCTACTGACATTCATAAGGAAATACAAACAAATTATGTGTGTGCTTCAGTGATTGTAACATACTGAAGTAAACCGGATAGTCCTAGTTAGTTTGGAACCACCAGTGGTTAAGGTTATTTTTCTTTTTTAAGGTTCCACTTTGTTTTGCTAGTTAGTATGATTTAGTTTCTAATGAAGGATTGGTATTTTGTCATTTTTAGATGCTATCTTGTTAATCCTTTCTCTTTTATTGCTTTCATGCTCTTCAATTTGTCCTAATCCATTGTTGCCGAGATGACCCTCGTTCCCCACCCTCCTCTAATGCATGTCCAGCTCTGCACACCTGTGATAACCTCAGTTTCATTAGCAAATGTTTTAAGCATCACTGTTAAAATCTTCAGCACTTGATGCTGTGAGAATTGTAAACACAGGTAGCTACAGTTCTTCAAGAAGGGCTAACTTCTTGCTCCTACTTTTAAACTATGTAATTGACAGTTGCATACTGCAAAATTATGATATTTTTGTATGATATTTAAATGAAAGTTATTGCAATGGCATTGCTAAGTCTTAAAATTTCCTGATATTACAACATTGCCAGGTGATTATACAATAACAAAATCATGTTCTGTTAATTAGGTTATTAGTTTCTTGCAAAGGTCATTTATAGTTGAAAACTACAGGTGATATGAATTGATGTGAAAGACATAGTTCCATAAGACAGCAGACCTGTAGCTATTAAAATGGGTTTTCTCTTAATCAAAAGATGGCAGCCATATTGGAAAACCTGTTAGCAGTAACACCTCCAAGATCACGGGGCCATCCTTTTACACTCATGCTCCCACCAGTAAGAAATGTTGATGTTGATTATCCATAAGAATATGATTTAACTGCTGGGCTTTTGTTATGGAGGATGGCATATATATATTTTATTATTATTTTTTTTTAGAAACAATTACCTGAGCATGTTATTAGTAGCAACCAACCCTATAACTAAGCTATTATGTATAATTACTTTTTTTTATCATGCATTTTAACATGTGGTATACTTTTTGTTTCCATGATTATATAAAATTTGGTGTCTATTTAGCCCTTGAATTTGAGATTAGCCCATGACAATGCTGCTTCAAGATTTAGGTGTGTGTGTGTGTAATTACCAAAGGGTAATTACCTAAGTGTAGTTACAGGATGAGAGATATGCTCGTGGTGTCCCATCTTCCCAGTACTCTGTCATATAATGCTTTGAAACTACAGACGGTTTTGGCCTCCACCACCGTCTCACTTAGCTTGTTCCAACCGTCTATCACTCTGTTTACAAAAGAAAACTTTCTAATATTTTTTTGGCACCTTTGTTTCCTTGGTTTGAATCTATGTCCTCTAGTTAGTGAAGTTGCTGGTTTCAGAAATTCCTCTGTCAGTTTGGTTGATCCTGTTAGTATTTTGTAAGTGGTGATTGTATTCCTTCCCTTTTTTTTTCTCTTTTAGTTTTGGCATGTTTGAAGCCTCTATTCTCTCCTCATAACTCTTGATTTTCAGTTCCGGAAGCTATTTTGTGGAATGCCGTTGCACCTTTTCAGATTATTTATGGGCTTCTTGAGATTTGGATACCCTATAACTGTTAACTGCTGTATATTCCAATTTTAGTCTCAAGAAAGTTATGAACAGTTTCTTTAGTATTTCACCATCCCTATAATTAAAAGCAAGTCTGAAGTTGGAAAGCAATGCATACGCTCTTCTTACAATGTTCTTTGTGATTCTCTGGTGACAGTTTACTATCCAAAACCACCCCTAGGTCGTGTTCTTTATTAGAGTTCTGTAATTCCTTTCCACATAATTTGCAAGTTGTGTGTGGTCTGTTTTCTCCGATTTCACATTCCATAACATGGCACTTATTCACATTGAAATTCATTTGCCACTTGTCGCTCCAAGCACTTACTTTATCTAGATCAATTTGAAGAGCATTACAATCGTCTGCATCTCCTATCTTCCCCAGTATCTTGGCATCATCCACAAACATGTTCATATAATTCTGTATTCCTTCTGGTAGATTGTTTATGTAAATGGTGAATATTACTGGTGCAAGAGCTGAACCCTGTGGTACTCAACTAGTAACACACCTTCAGTCAGATACATTGTCCCTGATTACTGCCCTCATCTGTCTGTCAGTTAGGAAATTTTTCATCCATGTCAGAAGTCTCCCTGTCACTTCTCCAGGATGTTCCAGTTTCCAGAACAGCCTCTTGCGTGGAACACTATCAAAAGGCATTTTTTTTTTTTTTTTTTTTTTTAAGTCCAGATAGACAGAGTCAACCCAACCACCACTTTCCTGTAGTATGTGGCTCTATCATAAAAACTAAGATGATTTGTTACACAGGATCTTTTTGTTTGAAAATCATACAGTCTGTCTATATTATTTATGCCATTACTCCCGAGGTGTTCAACCCATTTGGCTTTAACTATTTTTTCTAATATTTTGACTACCACCCATGTTAATGATATGGGGTCTATAATTTAGAGGTTCTTCTCGACTACAATTTTTATAGATTGGTACTATGTTTGCCTTTTTCTATATATCTGCTAAGATTCCTGTGCACAAGGATGTCTGGAATATTAATTGGAGTGGAATGCTCAGCTCAGTTGCACATTCTCGAAGCACCTAAGGTGAAACTCGATCAGGTCAAACCACTTTATTTCTTCCTAGCCCCATGTTAATGTGTATACTAACATGATCAGAGCCATGACACTGAGGTCCTGTCCCCTTTATTTGGGAAGATAAAGCTTCAATAAGTTTTTCTCTCCATTTTCTTTAGTATTATGTGATCTTGTATGTACAGTAGTTATCATAACCTTCACTTGGCTTCCAATGTAGGCATTGTCATTGTCCTTAATATTTCATGAAAGTTCATATGTCTTAATTCTGGGATACATTTGTGCATGTAAACAGCTTCAGTATTATCAATTGATGTGTGCATGTTAGTGTGTAAGAAAAAAAACTGTGATACATAGAAGATATTTTGATTTATTAGTATGTACAGAAAGTTAGGGATACCTGTACCTAGTATAGTACTGTTCTGTCCCTGGTAAGGCTAGAGATACTACCTGGACATTGAAGGCCAGAATGCAGAGTTTAAGTTGTAAATTTTTTTTGTAAATATGCATGGAAGTGTGCATATGTACTAGCACATTAATTATTGTGCACAAAATTAATTGATGCTAGGTATATGTGCATAATCACGATTGGCAGATGGGTAATGAAATCAAGGGTTGAGTGCACCTAATTATTTTTTTTCTATTAGTTTTGTACAAGCTTTCTTAATCTTAAGGGTTTATTAGTGATACAAATTGTTTTTTCTTAGGGGGGGGCGGTGTTGTAGAATGAGCATGTAAGTCCTGCAAGTGTCTGCTGTATCCTAGGGAAATCTAGAGAAGATAATCCTGTAGATATAATAAGTGATATTGAGCTGAATTAGGAAACTGATGCTATGATACTGTAAATTTAATGGTGAAAGAGATAAAACTAAGAACTAATATTTTGAGAAATGCATTGCTAAATCATTGCTAGGCTGGTAAAAATCTGGCATTTTAAACTAACTTTAAGACTAGCTGTGTTAGTTTGCATTTCTATTTGTGTGTGTAAATGTTAGTAAACCACATTCTGAAATTCATTTAATGGTATTAATGCTTGGAATATATAGCAGTCAGACCACGTTTTCCATTTTGAAAAATCAGGGACTTATGTCTGTACAGTATCCCACTTGTTCATATAAGATAAAATAACTTAAAACTGGATTGTTTATGTAATTTTAGCTAAGTATGAAGTATTACTAGTTAGTACAATGGCCTGCCAGTGTTTTGATATAAGTACTGTATTCCTAATTAATATACCTTACCTGTTATGTATTGTCTGTTGATTATTGTTTCTGGTAATTTTTATTAACTTGCCAGAAATCCATTTATGTTTACATATTATGCCTTGTCTCGTGAAATAGAATTGAAAACATCATACCTTGAGTCATATACCGTACTGTATGTTAGTCAAATCAAATAGTGCTCTCATGGATTTTTAAGTCTTTAATGGCATTGCCCGTAAAATATACTTAAAGTAGAATATTTCTATAATACATAGTATAAGCAGAGATTAATTTTGGTGTATTGGATTTGTATTAGTTACTTAACTAATTTTCCATTTCTTTTTAGCAATGCGAATCAATGGCCATGGAAACCGTGTACCTCGTCACCACGGCTATGAGTCATCCTCCATGATTAGTTCCGATTTAGAATCGACTAGCTTTTTTGACTCTGATGACGATGCCTCTAGTCGCATCACTGCCACAACTACTGGTAAGCATTCCACAAGTGTTTTACAGCTGTAAGCATGATTTGAATAAGATACATAGTTGCACTTAGGTCACCTCTCTTCATTCAGTAATCGTATTGTAGAGGAAGATGACCAGTATCTTGGAAGGGAAATGTGGCATAATATATGAAAGAAATATCTAAGATACTTTTAGCCATTAATTAGGGACTGAAAGATAATATGTATGTATGCTTTTCCTTGAACAGGAAGCAGCAGCGTATCAAGACTCCATGCAAGGCATCGGCGGAAAAAGCAGCGGCGTCACCGTCTTCAACCTGCCATGTCTCGCACCTCCTCCATATCTTCAATCACTGACTCTACTATGTCACTCAACATCATTACTGTTACTTTAAATATGGATACTGTAAACTTCTTGGGCATATCCATCGTTGGCCAGTCAAGTAAAGGTGGCGATGGGGGTATTTATGTGGGATCAATAATGAAAGGGTAGGTTAAACAAATATTTTGTTGGATTTTGAAGATTTATGATTGCAAGAAATTCTGCACAATTTATTTTATGCTCACTACCACATAATAAAACACAAAATTACATTCTCCCCACAGTCTGTGCACTTCCATAAAACCTAATACAGTATTAATGCACCATAGTCACAACATTAAATTTCTGGTAAATGATAATAATAATGCACCAGATTTAAATACTTCTTGGCATCAAATGAAGGAAAACTTGCATGAGCTAGTGCAGAAGCTCAAATCATGTGTGTCCCCTCTTAATGCCGACATGTGTCATTGATATAATCTATCTTATACTAAAGTTCATGCATGGAATTGTTTTCCAGAGGTTTAGAAAACAGTTTTAAATCTGAAGACTTAAAAATGTCAAAGTGATTACATCCATGAAAATGAGGAAGATTGTACACAAGTTTTTTTCATTTGCAGAGGAGCTGTAGCATTAGATGGACGTATTGAACCTGGAGACATGATACTACAAGTTAATGATATAAACTTTGAAAACATGAGTAATGACGAGGCAGTTAGAGTGTTACGGGAAGTAGTCCAAAAACCTGGGTGAGTATCATACTCCATTTTTTGCTTGCATATTCAATTTACATTTTCATATCTGATAGGACATAGTATTTCTAAATATATTCAGCAATTTTATCCTTCACTGTTGGATGTGTCCAAAGTTTACATGAGATTGTAAAACAAATTAATGCATTATCATTTTCTTTTCTTTCATCTTTCTAACATATGCAGGCCAATCAAGCTTGTTGTCGCGAAATGTTGGGATCCCAATCCAAAGGGATATTTCACCATACCTCGAACAGAGCCTGTCCGGCCCATCGACCCCGGTGCGTGGGTTGCACACACTCAAGCATGCCGAGGAATTCCAGGTTGAGTGTAGCCATGTTTTATTTGTATAAGCAGTGCTACTAATAATACCTGGTAATGCACTTAGAGTAAGAAGGGGCACTGTGAAATGCAAAATACAACTGGAAGTAGCATATTTTTTGTAGTAAAGATAAGATATTTTGCTCTCTCATCTGGAAAGATCACTTCTCGTGTTCTATGTGTGTAGATTTTGTGGATTGCATCTTCCAGATTTAGTATTGTATATTTTAATAAACCAAATTTTGATTTTTGATAGCATTAATAGTTTACACTTAATGAGTACCTTAGAGTCTTAGACCTAATCATGTAGAAATCTTATTGTTCCTAATACAGGAGTCAAAAGTCTTAACACTTTCGCGTTCCACAGACTGAATAATTCGTCATTTATTTTTCTACTGAATGTGTTCCAACGACGCAATACTGAGTCACTCATTACAATATTTTTTAAAAATTTAAATTTTATCAGATCAATCTGGTAGTGGTTTTAAAATAAGCGCCTTTAGATTGCACACAATTTGATACCAAAATCAAAGATATAACATGAAACTTGATGTCCAAACACTTGAAATATTATAAATAGGTCTATGGTCTGAATATTAAAATATTTGTTAAAATTCTATTTATTGTCCTATTATCTTGGGACTTGTTTTAAAATGTGCGCCTTTTTATTGCGAACAATTTGATACCAAAATGAAAGATGTAACACAAATATTTATGTCAGAACACTGGAAAGATGATTGCAAGAAATTCTGCACAATTTATTTTATGCTCACTACCACATAATAAAACACAAAATTACATTCTCCCTACAGTCTGTGCACTTCCATAAAACCTAATACAGTATTAATGCACCATAGTCACAACATTAAATTTCTGGTAAATGATAATAATAATGCACCAGATTTAAAAATGACGATAATACTGTAATAATAATAGAATAAAAGAATAACAACAAATAATAGAATAATAAAAATATAATTAGATAATAAAAAAAGTTTCATTCACAAATACTTACATAGTTGTAATTAAAATCATACATAATGACACTGGTAGTGGGTAAAATACTGTATAAGCAAAAAACATTGTATTATAGAGAAGAAAACTTCTAGCCATGTTTGATATTTCTTTATATACCATTATTGGCTCATTTTGTCTACATTCCATTTTATATACATTTTCAAGTATCTCTTTTTCCACACATTATTATTTATTATTTAGAGCTCTCCAATGCAATATTCTGCACTGCAACTTCATTTCGATGAATATCTGGCTACAATTAATATTTTCTAGACTACTCTTCTGCTTTGCTGAACAAATGTTTGAAGGTTTGGCAAAGCAGAGAATGTGTGGATATACATTTGCTTTGGAAACAGGGCTAGAATTCACAGACCTGTGGGAAGTTATTCCATCACACGATATGTTGAAATGACAAATTGCCTCGATGAAATTAGTCCATATACAGTAGTGTCGGAAATATTAGGGTATGAATTGTAACACTTAATGTGGCTCCACTCATGTTTTTAATGATTTTTGTAGATGCAAAATTATAGAGAGCAGTTAGAACTTTGGTAAAGCCATTGAGCATATTTAAAATCAAATTGTATAGTTCATTTTCATTTTGAGTTGCCACAGTTTTCATTCACTTAACCCTTAAACTGCACATGACACACATGTACGCCAGGGCCCGATGGTATCATAAGTCAAACTTTTCAAACTTGTTCTAATGCTTTCAAATTTTTTGTTCATAATCTACTAGGCAAACACTCCAACTTTGTCTAAATGATCATCAACGTAACTTGAAATACAAGAAAATTTAAAATAATTATAAAATTTAATATTGAAAATTTCAGATTTTCAGATCAGCTGCAAAAATATTAAATATCACCAATTGTTCATTAAGTGTTATTATGCTCTCAGAATAGTATATGGTCTTCATTTTAATAGATTTTGAATATAGATTTTCAGGTTAGTTTACTGTAAAAAAATCGTCAATATGGCATTTGAAATATGTACCAAATTCAGACAACAAAATTTATAACTCAAAACGTTTAATGTTTATGAAAAATCCATCCTAATAGGATTGTAGAACAGACAGCGGCGCACACTATATGTAAAATTGGTGAGTTCGGTCAGAAACTGAATTTTTTGAAGCCGACTCAATGTTGAAACTCTAGTTTTAGAGATACAGTAATTGAAGTTAAAGTTATCGACAATGTATAAGGTAGTTCTAATTCATTAATTTACTTGTATGTTTTAATAAACATTGTTTGGCATTCGTACTCGTATATGTGAAAGTTGTAGGTCAATGTGTTGAAATGAAATCAGAAAAATACCCCCCCCCCCCCAAAAAAAAATATATATAGGGATAATTATAATAATTATACAGTAATGATTAGGGGATATATTTAAGGTATACTTTTTATAAGTCAAAGAGCCCTAATCTGGTCCCTAATCATCAAAACAATCTAAAGAAACAAGGAAAATAATTTGAAATTGGAAAAAATCAGCAAAAAAAAAAATTTAAGTCCCAAGTTCTGCCAGTTAAAACCAATTTATTTGTTGACCAATTTAATTTTTTCTTCACCTAGGTATGCATTCTCCCGGATGTAGAGGTTACAACAAAATCAGATTATAAACAAAGAAAAAAAAACAAAAAAAAAAACAATTTGTGGGCATTAGTGAAAGTAATAGGTATTACTATTGAACAATGTATATGTATGATATATAACAAAATAGTGCATAATAATATACTTATCATTATTTGTGTTATTATGTATTATGTATTACAGTATTATGTTGTTACTCAGCAATGCTATAAAAGCACCAGCTACATACCACTTTGTGGGCACTCTTCTTTGTGCATTGGACAGGTAATTACATCTCCTTATTACTGTATAATCCCTCAGTACCAGTTAATATGAGCTCTTATCATCATCAACAAAACATTCTTCTTTAAAAAAAAAATTGTCTAAAATCCATTTCTGAAAGTATTGGGATGAAACTTTCATGACACTGAAGCCAATAAGTTGGAGATTTAACATTTAATATTACTTTTCACATAATTCAAATATATTTTCACCCAGCCCAAGTTTATACCCTCCATTTACAGCCCAGGCTGTAGCAGTGTAAGGGTTAAGTATGGTCCCTGCTTCTCTTGCAAATAAGGTTTCGAGGCTGTGGTGTGGGGGAAAAAATGTTGCGTATGATAAAATATCTTTATAGACAGGTTCCCCTGTTAGTTGTCCAACATTTGGTAAATTGACATTAAAATTTCACTGAGTGAAACTAGCCCATAGACTGGGAAATATTAAGGATTGAATGGTAACACACTTATGATTTCAGTCACATTTTACCAATTTTCTTATATGAATGGAACATCAGGAAATAGAAACAAGCATAGCAATATTGTTCTTGTGTTACAAAATGCATCACACAAATGCCTTCTAAATGCATCTCTAGCTGCAAGGAATTCCTCATTCCAACAAATCAAGACTGGTTCCATACAGTTCACAATGTAATTTAACAATATCTGAGCATAATATTTGTGAGGAAAATATTATGGTCTTTGCTATAAATAATAGCAAAGACTCGAATCTTTGCTCTGGGTACAGTGGTGCCTCCGTTTTCAAATTTAATTCATTTCCAGAGATGGAATGGATTCAGTTTCGAAAACCGAAACAAATTTTCCCATAAGAAATAATATAAATTGAATTAATCCATTCCACACCTCCAAAAATATTAACTTAAAATATATTTTATACACATTACTACTTAAATTTTGTACTATAGTACAAGTATATCTTACCTTTATTGAGGCCTCATGTTGGTGTATGTAAGATGGTGAGGCAGGAGGGTTACAGTGATGCCTAGCCAGGGTTTCACACAGTCTCCCATGCACTCTGGCTTGTAGTCTAGGAATTCTGCCTCCTACACTTCTCTACAAATGCACAAAGAAATCACATTACCCAGCTTATGGGTTTGAATCATTCTCGTGACTCCTACTGATTTTCTCATTCATGCATCACGTTAATGTAATTTCTTTGTGCATAATGTTTGTATAAGCTAATAGCTATGTCTTAGAGATCATACAAATGAACATTTAAGTTAGTTAGCTCTACAAGTACTGATTCTACTTCTTGGCATCAGATGAAGGAAAACTTGCATGAGCTAGTGTAGAAGCTCAAATCATGTGTGTCCCCTCTTAATGCCGACATGTGTCATTGATATAATGTATCTTATACTGAAGTTCATGCATGGAATTGTTTTCCAGAGGTTTAGAAAACAGTTTTAAATCTGAAGACTTAAAAATGTCAAAGTGATTACATCCACGAAAATGAGGAAGATTGTACACAAGTTTTTTTCATTTCCAGAGGAGCTGTAGCATTAGATGGACGTATTGAACCTGGAGACATGATACTACAAGTTAATGATATAAACTTTGAAAACATGAGTAATGACGAGGCAGTTAGAGTGTTACGGGAAGTAGTCCAAAAACCTGGGTGAGTATCATACTCCATTTTTTGCTTGCATATTCAATTTACATTTTCATATCTGATAGGACATAGTATTTCTAAATATATTCAGCAATTTTATCCTTCACTGTTGGATGTGTCCAAAGTTTACATGAGATTGTAAAACAAATTAATGCATTATCATTTTCTTTTCTTTCATCTTTCTAACATATGCAGGCCAATCAAGCTTGTTGTCGCGAAATGTTGGGATCCCAATCCAAAGGGATATTTCACCATACCTCGAACAGAGCCTGTCCGGCCCATCGACCCCGGTGCGTGGGTTGCACACACTCAAGCATGCCGAGGAATTCCAGGTTGAGTGTAGCCATGTTTTATTTGTATAAGCAGTGCTACTAATAATACCTGGTAATGCACTTAGAGTAAGAAGGGGCACTGTGAAATGCAAAATACAACTGGAAGTAGCATATTTTTTGTAGTAAAGATAAGATATTTTGCTCTCTCATCTGGAAAGATCACTTCTCGTGTTCTATGTGTGTAGATTTTGTGGATTGCATCTTCCAGATTTAGTATTGTATATTTTAATAAACCAAATTTTGATTTTTGATAGCATTGATAGTTTACACTTAATGAGTACCTTAGTCTTAGACCTAATCATGTAGAAATCTTATTGTTCCTAATACAGGAGTCAAAAGTCTTAATGTATAATGGCTTGCTTAGATAAGATAATAGTAATTACATTGTTTGATATAACAGTATTTGTGCTGACAGTTTGGCAAATATTATTATTCTCCTTACAGTACAAATATACAAAAACTTGTTTATACTGAATGGTTAAAGATTATTATTTTGTATAATTTTCTCTTTTAAAATGAAACTTGGGCATTTCTCTTATCAGTACTTTTGATAAGGTAGTGCAGTATAAATAAATTTAAAGACTTTCTAAAAAATAGTTTGCAGATACAGTAATATGTTTGTTAAAATAATTATTGTGACCCTTTCATAGGGTGGGGGAGACATCTGTCTGGATATTATTTTTTAACCCAGTAACATATAATTAAGAAATACAGTACAGTATAATGAATACATGCTCTTTATAATGTGAGGAGCTATAAACAGCATATTAAATTTGCCTTATAGTACAAGTAAAAAAAGTGAGGAATTATATTGTTCGACACTTGACCACAAATGGCAGATAGCTAAATAATGTTTGTGATCACTCTTGGCTAAATTCAGTAAGCATATCAGTGCTGTCTCCTCCTAATAACTTATCAGAGTTGGCAGACGAGTAGTGGCATGGTTTGAAACTCGTCCACTGCATCTTACCTAGAATTCCTCTGCCTCTTTTCATTTTGTATCCATTCATACATCAGTATTATATAGCAAATTATGAATTTTGTAATTTCCTGCACTCTATAAATAATACTGTATAGGAAATGTGCATCATACAATGATAGTGTGTGTAGTGGTGGTTCTCTTCAAAATACCCAAGACTACTATCACATCATTTAAGTGGATTTTTGCGTACGTGATATCCTTTGGTATGCATTACTTTGGATAAAAGCATTTGCACCAATATTAGATATTGTAATTATCACACATTCACTCATTTTATCATTCATAATACTGTACATTATATAACCTCATGGCTAAACAAGAAATACCCAGATAATTACAGTACTGAGAAATTGACCAATGATTAAGGTGGATTCTGTGGTGATAGAGGGTAAAGGTACAGTACAGGTATTTACATTGAAACAGTTTACATAGAATACATGTGAGAATGATTTGCAAGTTCGATCATTGCATTTATGAACTTGTACATTGCATTTATGAACTTGGAAAAAAACAGGTGACAAAATTAAGAAAACTTTGGAGTGCGATGAGCATGTATAGAGTTTGCATAAGGTAAAGTAAACTTTTGTAAATTATTTGATGACAGTTTAATGTAGTGTACTGTGTGAAGAATATTCATAATACACAATTGTTTGTATGAAGATATGCCTGGATAGGGATCAGAGCTATTTTCCTTAAAGCATCTAGTTGCAGCAAGTCTGTTATAATACATAGCTTGAAGAGGAGTAACATATAAGTAAATTCTTAAGAAGCTACTACATGTCTACAGAACTTTTAAGTGCCAAAAGCAATATAAACCTAGATATAAATACTTGTAAATGTTGTTTAATTTTGTTTTTAATAGCTTCTTTAATCGGGCAGTGAATACATTTTACTGGACGATTATTGTAACTCGAGAGTTGTGTATATTTGTACTTTTTGGATCAGCTTTTATAAAGTTCAAAGACCAATACATGATTTGGTATGTCTAGCATGTGAATGGTTCCAGATGTATGTATAGCATTACAAATATTTAGAAAACTGTGAAGAACTGAATGTGTATTATAGAAGTGTTATTGTGGCTAATGTATTTTGTGTCTTTAAATCATGAATATTAGCATATTTCATATTGACACTTTTTTACACAAAAAGACCGCACCCCTCATAGTATGGATGTAGTGTACATCCAAGTGTACTTTAAAAGTGTACTGATACATTAAAGTTGCTTACTAACAAATGCTGTTTTGAGAGTGTGGTATAAGTAAGGTGTAGTGTTGCCCTTGACAGGAGAGTTTCCCGGTCGCCCGCCATCAGTCAGCACCCTCACCTCCACCAGCTCCTCCATCACCTCCAGCATCCCAGAGTCAGAGAGTAAGCTCACCAGTTTTTTTGTGCATTGTTTTGTTTACGTCTGGTGTTCTTATTTCAAGAACACCAGAATGTATCCTGGACAGGAATGTATCCTGTCTTTGCTTATCCATACTTTCACAATCAAAGAGAAAGCCACTACAGCCTGTATTTATTAAGCTATACTTTTCCAGTCAGTCTCAGTCTGACAGTCAGTCTCAGTCTGACAGTCAGTCAGTCTGACAGTCAGTCAGTCTGACAGTCAGTCAGTCTGACAGTTGGTCAGCGTGACACTGATTGGAGCAAACATGTTAAGGATCTCAGAATAATAATATTTGAGGGCAAGCAGAGTAAGTGGCCTTGGTCAGGAAAATGCAGTAGATTATGAAATCTTCCAAAACAAGGAATGGGAGAATATCATGCCATTAAAGTAACCTTCTACGTGGAGACAGTTAGCTAGGTGTTCACTGACAAGCACTGAGGCAAAGTAACTATTTAGCATATTGCTCATTTCTCACTTGTCATTTTGTCAGTTGGCCCGTATTTGTTTTCAGAGGTCCTGGACGTCTTTTGTCAGGTAAAGCTGGAAAAAGAGCTTTTGAGACTTTACTATTTCTGGCTACCTTGACTTTATAAACCCTTTCTTTACCCATAAAGCATTCCAATTTATTTTTCATTCAGTTTTATGAGATGGATCTCTCTTGTATTTTCTATCAACCCGTTCATCTGAATAGTATATTGCATTTAGATGTATAATTTCCGCGAGGCAAAATTAACGGAAGAAAGGCATTTCCATGATTAAACCTGAATGGTATTCGTGGAAATTGTTTTCTTCTCCTAATTTAATTGTTAGCAAAGATCCTATGTTCATCTATTATGGGCAAATCTCTCGAGATGGTTTTTCTGAGGTCATTCAGAAAATGACCAAGCTGGTTATTCATCATGACCTGGTTCTCCCCCAGTCTACTAAACATTAGTGTGAGACTCAATTCATTATAGTTTGCATTCTGAAAATCTAGTACCCTATATTCTTGTTATTTTTATTAACGCTTCCATGTGATCCTAAATCTGATCTCCAGATGATCACTTATTCTGAAACTGATAAAGATGTATAATATAGAAAAAAAAAGTGTTGAATGTAATGAAATGCCTCTTTCTAGGCAAATGTTCCTCTTTCTGGAACAATATTTTTAATGAAAATGCCTCTTTCCTTGGTAGCTTCCTGTAGTTAGCTGCACTGAGTTAGCTCACACCTGTAAATCACATCACCCCTTGTGAGTCCTTAAAAGCCTACCAGAGGTCAAAACTGCCCCCCCCCCTCCCCCTCATAGAGGCACAGGAAGCAGGGTATTCATGATCACCATAACTGAAAAAACAAAACAAAGAAAGGGAAGCAAAACAGAAAATGGAGCAAATGACTGCTAACAATCCATGCAGTAATTAGATCATACGCACCCTAGGTACAACTGGCTACCACCAAGGGCCAGTACCATGAGAGCTGCCAGCTCCATATGTCAACAACCATCAGGCTGGAGCATAAGCAAAGCAAGGGTACAGGCAGTATCATCTCTAGTTGAAATAGGTATACAAACCCTCAGAGGACAGAACTAAAAAGCATTCAAGGGTTTTTTTTATAGGTATCTGGGTATCTACCATTACGAGTTTGTTCTCTTCACCTATCGTCCCTTCTCCCTTTTTTATATATTCCAGCAATATACTTTGTATTGAAACATTGTTATCTGAAGTAAAACTACTACCTTCTAGTTCACAAATTTTTATATTGTTGATTTATATATATAATCTGCAACTGATGATGCAAAGTATAAATTGGGTATAAATTGGATAAGTTTAGATTTAGGAAAGACTTGGGTAAATACTGGTTTGGTAACAGGGTTGTTGATTTGTGGAACCAATTACCGCGTAACGTGGTGGTGGGGTACCTCGATTCTTTCAAACGTGGGTTGGACATGTATATGAGTGGGATTGGGTGGTTATAAATAGGAGCTGCCTCGTATGGGCCAATAGGCCTTCTGCAGTTACCTTTGTTCTTATGTTCTTAATGTTCTTAAAGTGGTATTTGCAGTGGTTAATTGCATCTTTGATTTACAGGACCATATGAAGAGATGAAGCTAACGGTAAATACATCTATGGACACTATAGTACGAACGATGGCAGCTCCAGACTCTGGTTTAGAGATTAGAGATCGTATGTGGCTCAAGATTACCATACCAAATGCTTTCATTGGTAAGTAATATTGAATAAATCCTAGAGAGATATATCACTTGCACCTTGATTACCAAAATGAAAATGTGCAAACAGATGAAAAGAAACTCTTTCATTCATCATATTCACACAAATTAGCATCAAATACAACTAGCACCATTTCCTGTCAGCAGAATACCCACTGCAGTGCTGTATGATTTGTCATCTAAAAATTTGTAAACAATTCATTCCTCCTGAACTGATTGCACTTAATTATTCCAGCACTGCAGTGCTGGAATAACTAAATTGAATAACTAATAGTAATTAAAGTCTTGTTGTCTATAATACCAAATTATTTTAAGGAAATTTTTTCTTGTGTAGTTATATTAAGGATTTATGTACTGCATCTTTAAAAGCAACAATTTAGTACTTAGTTTTCTGCTGACTTACAACCCCCCTTTTTTCAGGTGCCGATGTAGTTGATTGGTTACATCAAAGAGTAGATGGGTTTCAAGATCGGAGGGAAGCACGCAAATATGCAGCTCAAATGCTCAAGGCAGGCTATATTAGACATACGGTTAATAAAAAGGACTTTTCTGAGCAGTGCTATTATGTGTTTGGTGATCTCTGTGCTAGTAAGTATTTGTTTATAGTCTGGGTTTCAATTAATTTAGAAATACCGTACATATTTAAATACTTTGTACAGTATTTAGTGTCCCCAGTAATAATTCCTTATCATTTTGTTATTGCTATGTTTTTCTTCTCCCTGAACCATCATTTTCAGCTGTATCCTTATGTAAGATTCCAGTGTGTTCTTGGACATGGATTGTGCAGTAAAACAGGTACTGAATAGTACTTAAGGGAATTTATTAGCATCTCTGCACGCTCATAATGTGATGAAGGATTACTAAATCAGGCCTGGTAATGACAGCAAGGATTTCCACACAAAAACCATCCACTTCAAACTCTCACTTGTGATTAGAAGCGATTGTCTAATGAGGACTCACTACTGAATGGCCCGAATAGTTTTCCTCTTCCACCACTCACTAATGGGCAGTATCTTCTCTCACACTTTTTGATTCATTGACCAGAGCTAGATTACATACACCTTAACTGTTGTCTTGGCATGTTGTTCCTCAGGCTGGGACCTCATAAAGTTAGGTAGACTTGTTTACTTCCTTGAAATTTGGCTTCTTGTGCACTGTGTGCCATCTTTGTGTTAATGATCTGATATCAGTATTATAAAAAATTTGCTTTGTGTGTTGACTAGTCTTTGTATTTCTCCTGATTATTCCATTCTGTTTTTATGAGTTCACTTCATGTGTTTATTTTGTTGTGGACAGTGTACAGCTGTTCCATAACATGTATGGTGGTGTAGTGAGGTCTGTTACTTACCAAGCCATTGGCTGGGGTGCATTTTTTATTTTTAGTATATTTTATGGCCATTAGCTTTCTTTGCCTTTTATTTTTAAGGCATCTTGAATTTGAATTTGGTCTGGAATAGCTGAGCACCCTTGATCTGGTAGAAGTGCTCAATGAGCTTGAGCAGTTTCACAGGTATGGGCCATGGTGCGAGTCTCACTCTTGGCAGTCCACTTATGAGGTTACTGCTAAGTTGATGGCTTTTGTATTGAAATATCAGCATTGGAGGTTCCAAATCTTGGCTGATGCTGATTCTGTGCAAGATCTAAACTTTGTTTAAGTGGAGGTCTAAGTTACATAAAAATAAGTGACATGAGGAACAAAGATTCTGAAGTTCACCTGATTCAGGGCATGTTAAGGGAAAAAGGGAGGAGCAGAAATTTATTTTTGTTTTACTTTTTTTTTCCATATTGACCCAACAAAAGTATGAGACTGAAACTGACTGTTATTTATATAGAAAAATGGAATGTATAGAAGCCAGTGATGCCTCTTATCAATGTGCTGTGATTAGACTATACTGTCTACACTTGCTAATTTGAATTATACAGGGCTCACCCTGCTATGTGTTAAGTCGGATATTTGAATTAGCTGAATTTTTACCTGGAAAGTCCAAAACTGAAACAAATGTAATTTGAGTTTTCATTTGCCAGAAATCTAGGTAACCCAAATTTGTATTTGAATTGTGCAGTTTAGAATTCGAACTCTAATAGATTCGTGTTTCTCATTCTGTAAAAGCCCATTAACTTGATTGAGTTAATTTGACTTGAAAGGTAAAAAAGCTTGGTTGTCAGTTTATTTTGGATTACTGTACTTAAAGATTTGGGTTACCAGAATCAGAATTACCGAGTGTATACTTTATTTACTATTGTTTGATTTGAAGCACTAAAGCTGTTAACTCAAAATCACTTGAAATTTCAGGATTCTCAGAAATACCTGATGACTAGTATCTTATAATGATTCATTAGTGTAGTACAGTACTAAATAAATACAGGTAGAAACACTAATGGCAATAGTTCTGATTGAGAAATTCATGTCTGAAGTTATGCTAACATAATGGTTGGCTGTAATTCTAATGGTTGATACATATTAATTTTAAGTAGAACTCCATTTAGTTATTTCTTTAAAAAAAAAAATGATTTACAGGTTTAGCAGGCTTGAAGTTAGGTGAGGAGGATACCTTGAGTGAGGCAGATCGGGATACGCTAGCCCCATTACCGCCTCCTTCTGGTACTTCTCCCTGGGGAGGTCCTCATATGCCCTATGCTGGCACATATGTCCCGCCTGCTACAGGTTACACACCGATGCCATTCAATTACACCAATGAATCCTATGCATTTAATAGAGATGGCAGTACTAATAGTGGTTCAGGTAAGATTCATTATTTTATTTACTGTACATTAACTTGTGCTGTTAAGCTTATACATTTACAATCACATTGCATTTTATTTAAATGATTTGTGTGTGTTTGAGGCTGACAGTCACTATGATCTTTATTATTAACATGTCTCTGAAACCTTTAGGTAGTAGTGGTGGAACCCAAAAGAAAATAGAACGAAAGTCTGCCTCTCCAGCCCAAAGTGGAAGTGACAGTGAAGCAAGTCAGCGGAGTGCACGGCGATTAGGAAGTGGAGGTGGTGGTTCTGGCAGTGGCAGTGTCGGTGGTGGTGGAGGGGGTGGTGGTGGAGGGACAGTTGGCACTGGAGGAGGATCCAGTGGTTCAGAAAGATCAACTGCTACCACCTTGTCCCAACCACCGCAACAGCCACTACTCTCGCATCCCAGTCTTCAGCACCCTACAGGTGTGCCTTCAACATACCCTTCACATCCTCCACATTCCTCCCTACAGATTCATCCTCCTCATTCAAAAGGATTGCCACCTCTTATCCCTTCCCACCCTCATATTACCCATCCTCTTCCAGCAGGCATTCCTCCTCCTCACAGCCACTCTCATCCTCCACCACCTGCCTATTCCCTTCCTCCTCAGTCTAGCCAGCCACACCCAGCTCCGCCTTCTCGTCCTGTGGAACAGATGAGTCCTGACCTGGCTGCCAGTACCAACAGCTTCAACTTGGCCATGGACAACCCCTGCAACTTTTTTGTTGATTCTGTTTGAAACTTTGTTTGGTTAGTATGTGCCATTTGATTTGTTTTCAATTATTTTTCTTTACATTTAGTAGCATATTTGCTGTTTTGTTTACATTTAACAACCTATCAGGTGTTGTGTACACTCTGAAAAAATGTTTCTTTAATGCACTGAGCTCAATAGTTAAAGTATACTTTAATCCAGTCCATTGGATTTAATTTCCTTGTTTAATTAATTTGATCAATTTCTTTGGATAGGGAAATTTGAATGTTCTTTGTTGTAAATTATGCATTTAATACAGCTTGACTTAAAGTACAGTGATTTTAATTGTAATCTATTGCGTTTATTTATACATAGGTTTTATTTTTAGCTTAATTTAACTTTTAAATTAGCTTAAACCCTCCCTGGAGAGAGTGGCAACTGTAGATAGTTGCTGTATAATTCTTTTTGGTATGACTGTTTTGTATGTGACATAGTTACCATTACAGTACAGTTCCTTATACTGTAAAGCAGAAATATATTGCAGACTATGAGGTTTCTCTTGTCATATATTCATAAGACGAGTTCAGAAGTTAAAAGCTGATAAAGTTCAAGTACAAGACAGTAAAATGTCAAAATTCCTTGACTGGGGGTGTTAGAATGAAGTTTAAATAGTTTTTGTGGAAAAGTTAGTAGTTTGTACAAGCCGAGTTGAGAGTATAGTCAGAGTCGGAAAGTGGGTGTGAATGATTAGAAACATTCACACCCATGGTTGCAGTGAGTGCCATGGTTAGGAACAACAAAACAGGAAGAGTTGTTGGAACCTGTGAGACTATCAAACCGTCTTGATGGTTGTGAAATTCTAGTTGGGGATGATAACATTTAGTTAGGACAATAGAGGTGGACAATCTGAGGAGCACTTAAGTGCTTAGATGATATGTAGAATAAGATAGGAAGGAAAGGGCTAAATTTGGTATGGTTTTAAGAATGAGGTATTGAAGGTCGGTACCTTGCTTTTGAAGGTCATGTAAAGCGAATGAATGGTAATAGTGGTAACAAGTATGAGAAAATCACTAGGAGCCATGAGCTGGGTTTGAACTGGCACACTTAGTACTCCCAAGTATATTCATATGAATTTGAGGGTAGGAGAATAGGAATGTCAGATCATTGACCATCTATGATGTATGTGTGTGTGTGTGTGTGATGATTCGCATAGATTCTTATACTCACACACTCTCTTGTCCAGTTCTTACTTCCATACTACCATTCACCTTTACCTGGCTTGGCAGGTTGTTTTTGACCACCATAATAGCAATCATTTTCCCATTATCTTTTCCCTCAATTTTTGTAATTCATATATCCTTTTTCTCAATTCCCTACATGACTTGTCTTCCAGTTTGTTGTTCCCTTCATCTCTCTTCGGCTAACTTTATTTGATGCTGCCCTTTGCTCCATTTCACACTATGCTTCCCATAGTCTGTAAAAGTTCATTCCTTCATGGAATGCAGACTATGCACAGGCTGTTTACTATAAGCACGCAACCTTATAGGTATTTTGACAATACCTGGAAGCAGCACTGCTCACTGACAAACAATGGCATTTGTCGTGTCTCCAAAAGTTATATTATAACTGAACTGGTATTGGTCATAAATGAGCTCAGCTCCAACTTCAGCTATTAGCACCAGTTCTAGCCTACCTCCTGGTTTCTTTGCCTGAAATTCTCATGAAAAATCACACCCTTTGGACTTCAGCATGCAGTTTCAGTACAGCACTCCTAAACTGATTTCTTTTACTCCTGAACTTCAGTCTGCTCTGTCTCTTTACAGCTATACAGCAGTGGGCTCTGGTGGTATTCATTGTGAAATGCTCTGCCAATTCCTTACTAGTACCTTAGAGTTCTTATTTTGCATTTATTACTGTACCAGATCTTGGGCACTGAGTCTGTTCCTGAGGCCTGGCTTGGCATATCCTGGTGGATTTTGAAGTTTATATCCTAAACACTTTTTTTTGGGTAATTGTGTTATCCTTTTTTTTTATCTGGAGAAAGCATGAGACACTATTTGAAGATATACAGTATTAACTTAGTTGTATTCTTTTGGCCTCCATGGCAATTTGCTGTTTTTTTTCCATGGCTTTCTCTCCAGCTATACCTTTAAAGTCTGCTTTGGAACTATTTTCTCAGTTTTTTATTGTCAGTATGAGGACGTCCCCAAGACAAAGTTTTAAGCATTACTCTTCCCGGTTGTTCTAAACAACCTCCTCTATCTCGACAGGTTTGTTCCACACTTACCATTGATGAAATAACTGCTGTTGCAATACAGATTTTTTTTAGTTCAACACCTACTCCAGCTTGCAATAGATAGTATATTATCCTGGGCTATCAGTCATGGCTTTGAAAACTTGTCTCTAATTTGAAAACTTGTGCTCTATGGAATTCAGCCTTTTATATTAGGATCATGTAGAATGTTTTGGGTAGATCTTTGATACCCACCTTAGTTGTGATGTGCTCATTACCTATAAACTGAATGCTCCAAGACTCAAACTTTTTTTGTGAATGTCATATTTCCTAGAGGCAGATACGCAAATGCTCCCCACTGACCACTCCTCTCTTAATTTAACGTTGTTTAAATCTGCATCATTGAGAACAAGATGGTTAGAAATTATGAAAATTAGTGATGTAATAAAGTAAATGAGATGATGTGTACCATCACCATTGTAAGCTTAAATTAATTTAATGCTTGTAATGCTTTACCACTGCAATTTCAGTCTTAAACTATCTCAAGTGAGACACTTTGTCCCTGGGTTTGGTAGTGGTGAGTTTGGAAAGGGTTTAATCTAGATTGAGGCGGCGGTACTTTGCTTGTGATTCATTCCCTCCCACTCTGTTGAAGAAATTAAGTTGGTTACTTGTTTGGGGATATGATTCATTGCATATAAGATGTGCTCTTTGTTTAGGCACAGGCAGGCAGGCCTGTGTGTTTTCAGGGATTTCCGTCCTTTATGTTGTCTACTTGTTGCCCTACTCTTCTTTTGTGTGTGTGTGTGTGTGTTGTACTTTCTCCTTTAAAAACAGTAGTGCATGTTTAAAAACAAGTTTCTCTGTGCAGTATTTAATACTATATATATCCTTAAGTATCTGAATGGAGGGATTAGATCCATTATCAATGCAATTATTATTTGAAATAGAATTCTATTTAATTTAATTTAACTTCTGAAAAGTGAACTAGTATCACAGGTCAGGTTCATTTATTTGCCATTTAAGCAACTTCCTTGTATTTTCAGCCCAATCCAAAGTCCTGCTGGTGATCCAACCCCTAAACATGTATTTTGCCTTACCCTTAATGTAATCCTGTATTGTCCTTCTTGATCAATATACCCCACATAGAAATTGTTCCTTGCCTATCCAGCTTAATTATCTTCTCTTACAGGTCTATTAATAGGAAATCTTCTAGTCTTAAACATTATCTGTTGAACACTAAATTATAATTTAAGAGGGTTTTCTGTTTTGCTTGAAAATTTGACATTTGAATTTAACCACGAACTAACCTGTTTACTAACTGAAAATTTATTTTATTTAAACCAGTAATTTGTCACTATATACCACATGTTCTCATTAGTTCGACACTCTTGGCTCACCAAATAGAATTTTCAAAGTCCATGCTTGTTGCCAATTTTTAACAATCACTATCCAATGAAAAGAAAAGTTTGTTTAACCCCACATATCTGAAAATGAAGAAACTGACATTTTCAGATGTGTGGGTTTTGAATTAACACTTCAGCCACGTTATTGTGACTCATCATCTGCACAAGATTTTTTTTTTTATAGGCAATTAAATTTTTGTCACTGATGTGCAGTAAATTTGTAGTTTTATTAAGTTTCCATTACCATTCAGCATTTAAAGATTATATATACAGTATTATAAAACATGCCTCAAGGATATAATTAATGATCACAGGATGGTCAGATAATTTATTTAAACCTTAAAGTGGAGTTAGTCATATATTGGTTCTTAGGGTAATGCAGTTATTATATGTTGGATATAGTTCTTATCGCCCAATTTTTATACAAGTGATGTAAATGTGGTTATAATACATCTATAAGGATGTGATGGAGTTAGCCTACACCCATGATAAAACTTGTCATTTTTAATTGCTTACCATGCAGTGAGGTTTATTATCCTCATCTAGTTTGAGCTGGACACTGCCTACACTTTCCAAAAGGTAGATTTCCAGGTCTCTGTTTGGGGTTTAGGCCCACCTCTAAAATTTTGGCCCTCAACTTACCTGGCAGGTTGCTCAGGTATATGTCACTCAGGAACCAGGACATTTCTTCAGAAATACAGTATGTTTGGATCTAGATACATGCAAGTTAGCTCCATGCTCACCTCCTGAATCAGTCTTTTTCGGTTCCTCCTGTGCGTTCCGGACTTCATTTGCCACACTTACCCGGCTTCCTCTTAAGTTCGGGTCGCCTTTCACCATGTAACTGCATTGCGAGGTTCTTGTTTCTTCCTGGTTTGCAGACAACTCTCTATTCTTTTGGGGTCTGGCACATCTTTGCCCTACCCAAGCACTTGAATTGCAAGCAGTGCACTCTGCCTTTTGGAGTTATTTGGCCAGTGCCAATTTTGCACCGCTGGAGTCTTGCCTGCTTGCTCCAGTCCTGCCCTGGGATTTTGATGCAACTTGCTTGAAATATGATATGGTTGAATCTTCAGTGCGTGTCCCAGTTGTTCCAAGCAGGACTCTGTGAACCTATGGTACATTCTCGACCTTATGGGTTTGCGCACTTTTCTTTCCTGTCCGATCTTTTGTGTGGTAATGTTAGCTTGGATCTGTCTGGTCATGCAGGCAGATTCCTGATCTGATCAGTACAGTGGAGGCCTCACATCTTGCAGGTCAATGTTTGATCCCAATAGTCCAAGTGGTTGAGTTCCAATAGTTGTTCCTTCCCTCTTTCTTATCCCAGATCTTTATCTTCATCTCTCTTTCAAGTGCTGTTTGGAAAGAAGACAATTTTATATTTTTTCTTCAAATATATTCTGTCTAATGTTTAAGTACACTATGTGCATTATTTGGTGGTATTTAATTTATATACAGTATACATAAAATTAAATGAAGCCGAGTGTTCATGCAGATGTTCCAAAATGTCGCATGCAGTTTCAGTACAGCACTCCTAAACTGATTTCTTTTACTCCTGAACTTCAGTCTGCTCTGTCTCTTTACAGCTATACAGCAGTGGGCTCTGGTGGTATTCATTGTGAAATGCTCTGCCAATTCCTTACTAGTACCTTAGAGTTCTTATTTTGCATTTATTACTGTACCAGATCTTGGGCACTGAGTCTGTTCCTGAGGCCTGGCTTGGCATATCCTGGTGGATTTTGAAGTTTATATCCTAAACACTTTTTTTTGGGTAATTGTGTTATCCTTTTTTTTTATCTGGAGAAAGCATGAGACACTATTTGAAGATATACAGTATTAACTTAGTTGTATTCTTTTGGCCTCCATGGCAATTTGCTGTTTTTTTTCCATGGCTTTCTCTCCAGCTATACCTTTAAAGTCTGCTTTGGAACTATTTTCTCAGTTTTTTATTGTCAGTATGAGGACGTCCCCAAGACAAAGTTTTAAGCATTACTCTTCCCGGTTGTTCTAAACAACCTCCTCTATCTCGACAGGTTTGTTCCACACTTACCATTGATGAAATAACTGCTGTTGCAATACAGATTTTTTTTAGTTCAACACCTACTCCAGCTTGCAATAGATAGTATATTATCCTGGGCTATCAGTCATGGCTTTGAAAACTTGTCTCTAATTTGAAAACTTGTGCTCTATGGAATTCAGCCTTTTATATTAGGATCATGTAGAATGTTTTGGGTAGATCTTTGATACCCACCTTAGTTGTGATGTGCTCATTACCTATAAACTGAATGCTCCAAGACTCAAACTTTTTTTGTGAATGTCATATTTCCTAGAGGCAGATACGCAAATGCTCCCCACTGACCACTCCTCTCTTAATTTAACGTTGTTTAAATCTGCATCATTGAGAACAAGATGGTTAGAAATTATGAAAATTAGTGATGTAATAAAGTAAATGAGATGATGTGTACCATCACCATTGTAAGCTTCAATTAATTTAATGCTTGTAATGCTTTACCACTGCAATTTCAGTCTTAAACTATCTCAAGTGAGACACTTTGTCCCTGGGTTTGGTAGTGGTGAGTTTGGAAAGGGTTTAATCTAGATTGAGGCGGCGGTACTTTGCTTGTGATTCATTCCCTCCCACTCTGTTGAAGAAATTAAGTTGGTTACTTGTTTGGGGATATGATTCATTGCATATAAGATGTGCTCTTTGTTTAGGCACAGGCAGGCAGGCCTGTGTGTTTTCAGGGATTTCCGTCCTTTATGTTGTCTACTTGTTGCCCTACTCTTCTTTTGTGTGTGTGTGTGTGTTGTACTTTCTCCTTTAAAAACAGTAGTGCATGTTTAAAAACAAGTTTCTCTGTGCAGTATTTAATACTATATATATCCTTAAGTATCTGAATGGAGGGATTAGATCCATTATCAATGCAATTATTATTTGAAATAGAATTCTATTTAATTTAATTTAACTTCTGAAAAGTGAACTAGTATCACAGGTCAGGTTCATTTATTTGCCATTTAAGCAACTTCCTTGTATTTTCAGCCCAATCCAAAGTCCTGCTGGTGATCCAACCCCTAAACATGTATTTTGCCTTACCCTTAATGTAATCCTGTATTGTCCTTCTTGATCAATATACCCCACATAGAAATTGTTCCTTGCCTATCCAGCTTAATTATCTTCTCTTACAGGTCTATTAATAGGAAATCTTCTAGTCTTAAACATTATCTGTTGAACACTAAATTATAATTTAAGAGGGTTTTCTGTTTTGCTTGAAAATTTGACATTTGAATTTAACCACGAACTAACCTGTTTACTAACTGAAAATTTATTTTATTTAAACCAGTAATTTGTCACTATATACCACATGTTCTCATTAGTTCGACACTCTTGGCTCACCAAATAGAATTTTCAAAGTCCATGCTTGTTGCCAATTTTTAACAATCACTATCCAATGAAAAGAAAAGTTTGTTTAACCCCACATATCTGAAAATGAAGAAACTGACATTTTCAGATGTGTGGGTTTTGAATTAACACTTCAGCCACGTTATTGTGACTCATCATCTGCACAAGATTTTTTTTTTTATAGGCAATTAAATTTTTGTCACTGATGTGCAGTAAATTTGTAGTTTTATTAAGTTTCCATTACCATTCAGCATTTAAAGATTATATATACAGTATTATAAAACATGCCTCAAGGATATAATTAATGATCACAGGATGGTCAGATAATTTATTTAAACCTTAAAGTGGAGTTAGTCATATATTGGTTCTTAGGGTAATGCAGTTATTATATGTTGGATATAGTTCTTATCGCCCAATTTTTATACAAGTGATGTAAATGTGGTTATAATACATCTATAAGGATGTGATGGAGTTAGCCTACACCCATGATAAAACTTGTCATTTTTAATTGCTTACCATGCAGTGAGGTTTATTATCCTCATCTAGTTTGAGCTGGACACTGCCTACACTTTCCAAAAGGTAGATTTCCAGGTCTCTGTTTGGGGTTTAGGCCCACCTCTAAAATTTTGGCCCTCAACTTACCTGGCAGGTTGCTCAGGTATATGTCACTCAGGAACCAGGACATTTCTTCAGAAATACAGTATGTTTGGATCTAGATACATGCAAGTTAGCTCCATGCTCACCTCCTGAATCAGTCTTTTTCGGTTCCTCCTGTGCGTTCCGGACTTCATTTGCCACACTTACCCGGCTTCCTCTTAAGTTCGGGTCGCCTTTCACCATGTAACTGCATTGCGAGGTTCTTGTTTCTTCCTGGTTTGCAGACAACTCTCTATTCTTTTGGGGTCTGGCACATCTTTGCCCTACCCAAGCACTTGAATTGCAAGCAGTGCACTCTGCCTTTTGGAGTTATTTGGCCAGTGCCAATTTTGCACCGCTGGAGTCTTGCCTGCTTGCTCCAGTCCTGCCCTGGGATTTTGATGCAACTTGCTTGAAATATGATATGGTTGAATCTTCAGTGCGTGTCCCAGTTGTTCCAAGCAGGACTCTGTGAACCTATGGTACATTCTCGACCTTATGGGTTTGCGCACTTTTCTTTCCTGTCCGATCTTTTGTGTGGTAATGTTAGCTTGGATCTGTCTGGTCATGCAGGCAGATTCCTGATCTGATCAGTACAGTGGAGGCCTCACATCTTGCAGGTCAATGTTTGATCCCAATAGTCCAAGTGGTTGAGTTCCAATAGTTGTTCCTTCCCTCTTTCTTATCCCAGATCTTTATCTTCATCTCTCTTTCAAGTGCTGTTTGGAAAGAAGACAATTTTATATTTTTTCTTCAAATATATTCTGTCTAATGTTTAAGTACACTATGTGCATTATTTGGTGGTATTTAATTTATATACAGTATACATAAAATTAAATGAAGCCGAGTGTTCATGCAGATGTTCCAAAATGTCCATACATTTTATTTATATATATAAATAAATAAATAAATATATATATATATATATATATATATATATATATATATATATATATATATATATATATATATATATATATATATATATATATATATATATATATATATATATATATATATATATATATATATATATATGTCGTACCTAATAGCCAGAACGCACTTCTCAGCCTACTATTCAAGGCCCGATTTGCCTAATAAGCCAAGTTTTCATGAATTAATGTTTTTTCGTCTACCTAACCTACCTAACCTAACCTAACCTAGCTTTTTTGGCTACCTAACCTAACCTTACCTATAAATATAGGTTAGGTTAGGTTAGGTAGGGTTGGTTAGGTTCGGTCATATATCTACGTTAATTTTAACTCCAATAAAACGAATTGACCTCATACATAGAGAAAAGGGTTGCTTTATCATTTCATAAGAAAAAAATTATAGTAAATATAATAATTCAGGAAAACTTGGCTTATTAGGCAAATCGGGCCTTGAATAGTAGGCTGAGAAGTGAGTTCTGGCTACTAGGTACGACATATATATATATATATATATATATATATATATATATATATATATATATATATATATATATATATATATATATATATATATATATATATATATATATATATATATATATATATATATATATACATACATACATACATACATACATACATACATACATACATACATACATACATACATATATACATACACACACACACACACACACACACACACACATATACACACACACACAGTATATGAATTTTTTGTATAAAAGTATTTTCTTTGCAGAGACTTTTCAGATGAGTGTCACTAAAAATATATCAACTTCACATTTCAGAGGAGGATATTCAAGGTTACCAGTTTAGTGACCGCAGCTAGTCACATTGAAGGTGGGTAGAGAACCACAGTCCGAGCTTAAACCTCAGTGGAAACTGTGTCAAATATCGGTGAAGCTGCTTAATGTTATCAGCGCAAATGATGTTTCAATTAACTGCTTGTTGATTCTTGGATGGCCTTCCCAAATCCTTTGAATCTTTATAACCAAAGCATTGTTATGAAATTCAGGTATTGGCATACAGGAAAGTGAAATAAATTTCAAGTTTGAATTATATATTTTTTATATGAATACTAATCATTAATGAACTGTAGCACAAGTTAATGTTACTCACAATATAATGTTCTCTAATGAATTAAAAGCAAGATACCCAACAAGTCAAGGTATTTATTACATTAACAATAGTGGGCATATGGGAGGATGCCAATTCTTTGAACACAAATCAGTTCATGAATGCATTAAAGTACAGTTGCTGAGGTGGGTAATGATATCCAAGCTTTGTTGCTTCATGAAAGAGGTGGTGGTTATGAAAGATGACAGTGACACTAAACATTGAAACTTGTTTCATCTTCAGAAGTCATCGAAACCTTGTGGAAAAATAGACGCTGGGTAGGAAATGAGGGCACTTGAGCTTGTATAAGGTTAATTAGTGATTTTGTGGACAGTTTTGCCCTTGCTTGGTTAGTGTGTTACACAAGAAAGTGAAGGTAATGAAGCAAATTTATATATTTATCACAAGAATATATTTCTAAGAGAAACATATGCATGGGACCAGGATGAGAATTATGAAGTGTGGTGTTTGTCGCCTGCCCGTTAAGAAAAGAAATTACAAATTTGAAGTGACTTCCAGGCATTGCATTTTTAGATACAGTATTCATATGCAATAATTTCACACATGACAATTTAAGGTAGTGGAGTTTCAAGATAATGCAATTGACTCTGTAACCAGTTTATGCAACTATATATTACAATTGTGTTAATGACTCGTGCAGGAAATATACTGTGGGCAGGTCGTAGGCCTTCTATGCGGTCTTCAAATGTTATTGTTTTGTGATACAGTAAGACTACCCTGGATTCACCTGGAAATTACTATGGGTTTGAATCAAATCTACCAATAATATGTGGTATAAGTATAGCTTATTGGTTCACCTTATATTTTCAGTCAAAAAGACGAGAATAATAAGGGTTGACGAGCTCTGTACAGGTGCAGAAGACTGGAGCCGTACATATATGTGTTATGCACAGAGGGGCCATGACTGCACGTCACTGTGCTTCAATGCAGCTATCTCAGTATTTAGGGAAGACTTAATATTTTTTTAAACATTTTAAATGGAGGTTATAAGCTTTGAGTTATAATCAAATATATTTAGTAACATTATTTATATGCAAAAACTCATGTGTTTGTGGTGTGAGCAGGTAGATTCGATAAACATTAAATTTCTTGGATCTTAATGGCAGATTATTAAGGCTGTTTTATGAAAATATCCTCAGAATTTTATAACCAGTGTTTTTTTTGTCTTTTGTGTGTATTTCCAGTGTTACTGTGCCACGGGATCTATATTGGTATTTTAGTAATGAAAGAATAATGGTAAAAAAAAAAAGACGATATGGGAAGACAAGGAAGAATGGTGGTTTTTATTTAATGTTCATGTAAAATTCTGTTAGACATTAGTTAATTTATGTAATTTGCAAATAGTGAAACTACAAAATAATGTCTTTGAATATATTTCCACAGTTATGTTTGTAAATGTGTTGTTAAAGATTAGTGAATAAATAAATGCCATATTTACATAAAATTCTACCCATGAGAAAAATTTTAGATATCTAAGCTGCATTTGTCAAATTATCACATTTTATGGCTTGGTTTAAATTTTCTTGAAAGTATGTCTTGAGAAGCAGGTTTAGTTTGGGCATATGTAACATTAGTCATACTGTTGAGTGGTCACTATTGTGATCCAACTGAAACCAACTTTTCTCTTTGAAGAGAATACCAACCTGTGATAGTAGCAGATAACATTACAATGGGCTGCTTTGGCAGATAGTCATTTAAGACCAGATGCAGTGTAGATTTTAGCAACAATGCTATATATTTGGCTCGGTCTTCACTGGGGAAATGTGTAATAAACAAGCCATTACAATCATGAATTGCTGCTGCTCACAAATGCAAGTGGTTAGCGAGTTCCTAATTTATTTTATTTTATTTTATGGAATTGTGGCAGAGATCTCCACCCAGCAGCATACAGATGTAGCACAAACTTGCAAGATGCTGTATGTGGCTGTGTACTGTATAATTTTTATCTGAATGGAAATAATGTACAGCATAACATTTATTGACTAGCAAATCTGAATTTTTCTAAATGAGTTTATACATTTTTTTTTGCAGTATTACTTGCCATTTCATGTTGAGGGGCTGGAAGTCACCATATCGTGCTGTACATATTGACTCTAGTTTTACAGAGTACCATCGTGTCTTCACATACAGCCTGTGATGTAACTGTTCAAATAATTTTCAAGTTTGTCGTCATTTGAACGTTTTATCTCTGCCATTTAATTGTGATTTTTGTCTTGTTCCTTTATATTTTTTAATCTGTATTTATGTATATAGACAAGAGTGTGGGAGAATTCTCTCCTTATTATGAAATGGCTTCTGCATATCTGTTACTGTAATGTAATGCTCGACAAGTATAGAATTTACATAAATACATGTATACAATCTTGGATGAAATATCCTCTGTGGTGGATGTTTTTACAGAAGAAAATGTGACCTAGATACCATAAAATGTAAGGGCTTTGCTGTGGTTGCAGTGAATGAAACTAAGGTCAATATTCAAGTGGTACCAATATGTTTTTTATTGCATACTCCTGCTTCAGGGATACTCATTAATGCTCTTTTAAGTACGTGCTGCATAATTCATAATGGGAGAACACGAATCTACATATAGATTTTGAAAAGTTGCTTTGTTGGTTCAGGTATATTATGTATTTTTCATGCAAGGATCAACATAATTGTGTTCAGTGAGTGGTGAACTAAATAAGTCTCCTTACTTCTGTTGTGCTTCATTGATGATAGATTTGTACTCAGTGGGATCCATTCTGGTTCTTATAATTGTAAGTCATAAAGATCAAATATACTACTTGAACATGCTTGTTGTTTTGGGGCTTATCACCATATTTCTGCAATACAAAATAAAAGGTATATATGTGTAACACATTGTTCACGAGAGGAGTATGCAGTAGGTAAGTAATTATCAAAAGGTAGCACCAAACCAAGAAAACCATGTAGCACCATTTGTCTCTGTATATTCAAAAGGTACCAAATATCACCCAAGATGCCAGTATGAGAACAGATAGACATAAGGCGAATGATATCGATGGTATCAAATTCATCCACGGACAAATGACCCCTAGGAACATTTGAAAAACAAGACCATCATCCTGAAAACTCAGGGCAATCTACAAGGAGGTGCATGATTAAGTGGTACAATGCAGTTTGGACAAAAGAGCAGGACTTTGTTCCATTAAGTGACCATAAGTTAGTTGGATGTGATTCATATGCAACCTAGCCAAAGCTGTTTTCCATTGCCTATTAATTTAATGTGGTAGCAGGAAGGCCAAGGGTAACGGTCACTTATAAGAGCATGCTGTTTATTATCTAACATCAGATCAATGACCCTACTAACAATTGAAGATTGCAGCTTGAATGACTGGGTAGAAATCCGAATAAGGAATCTTGTCTGGAGAAATTCTTGGTAGTAGTTCTACTCCCAGAGTCCGGACTGGGGCCAGGCTTGACTTGTAATAACTTGGTCTTGCAGGCTGTTGCTTGCAGCTGCCCATAGGCCCACATATTCACTACAGCCCGGTTGGTTCTACACTTCTTGCAAGAACTTATCTAACTTGTTATTGGAAGTCTACCTTTGTTCTGGTAATATTTGTAATGTTTGCTTGTTTGCTAAACAGCTGTGGACCTCTGATGTTCAGACAGTTCTCTGTGCCTATGGCACGTCTACTCTTCACTGGTTCCATTCTGCATTTCCTTCCATGTATATTTTACTCTACAAATTTGAGACCTGGCCTTGCATATTCTTGTATTTGATCTCTCATCTCCTTTCCAGAAAGTACATCTTGAGAACTTTGAGACAGTCCCAGTAGTTTAGGTGGTTTATTCTGTATGCGTGCTGTATACAACCCGTCCTTGACTCAAGTCCATTGCATCCAGCGGTCGACCCCACAGACACATTCGTAATTATTAACACGATGTTCATTCAAAACTGGAATTTTCTTAAATATAAATTAATATTATAAATATATTAGCATATTCCACATATATAGGCATAGGTTAGGTTAGGTGTTTAGGTTCTGTTGGCAATTATTTGTATTTGTAATACGTGGGTGAAGCATTCATAGCGTTGTGGTTCGAACAAAATTCATCAGTGAAGCACTTGTTCCGGAAGTGTTCGAACGTCAACAATCGCAAGTTGCGCGTAAACTTTTTCCATTCATAAACGGGGGTTTGGCGGGTGCACGGAATCACTCTTTGGTGTTTGGAGGACAGGCTGTTGTACATGCCTTCTGTATTCCTCTATTTCAGAAATCTCTTGCTCTGAAAGGGAAAGTGAGCACTGAGCAATACTCTTAGACGGGACAGAACCAGGTATTTAAATTGTATTAGCATTGCTGTCGGGGGGGGGGGGGGGGTTCCCTAGATTTTAAATGTTCTCAATCCATCCTTCCCTATCACTTTTCTAGCTGACGCTATGTTTATTTGGGCATGCTCAGTAAGAATTAGACGTCATAAAACGCAGACCTGTTATATGTTTTCCCTGTATGATTGTCTGTCTTGTACCGTGTGTTTTCTCTCTTATGTTTGCCTTACCTAAGTATCTAAAACACTGTTGAATATGTTATTTTCCATGGCCCAGTCGAAGAATTTATTAATATTGGCTTCTAGTAAGAATGAGAATTGCAGGAATGAATGACCATCTTGGCAGCAGTGTCTGCAAGTTCATTCGAAGTAATTATCGAAAGAAGGTAAGGTAATTATCAAAAGAAGGCACCAAGCCGGGAAGGCTATGTAGCAAGTTCATTCGAAGTAATTCCAATATGGCTGGGCACCCAGCAAAATCTGACCATCTTATATCTACTAGTATTGAATTTGACCACAGGATGCAAAGCCTTAAAAGACTAGAGCACCGAGTCACCCACAACATAGGAACATTGATGCAGGAAAGGCAGCTGATAATGTGTACAAAATTGCATAAAGTTCTGTGAAGATGCTAGTCTCCAGGAGTAGGTGGCATATATGGGTTCAATTGGATAAACAGTAACCAACACTGATGTGTGTACGTCTGCCGACAATGAACAAACAATGGAGTGAGGGGAAAATGTTGAAGGAAAAGGCTTTTCAAAACGGTAGGGGAATTGAGCTTTCACCATGTGGGGGTCAGGGGTTACAAAATTTCATAAGCAAAACTTGTAGCTCAAGATAGACTGGAACAAGAGATCTTTGAAAGAAAAAAAAATGTTGCTGGGATTAATGGAGTCAGCAATACGGGAACAACGCAGGAGACCAGCGGGAGTGTTCACGAAACACTTTCCGTTCGGGTGACAGCCCAAGCACCTGTACTTGTGCTACAGGGATTCTCAAAATGCGGGTCAACCGTCAGTGCCTTTCAGTAGGTAGCGACAAACTGAAGTCAGTGGAGTTTCAGTAACCTACAATTCACGAGGCTGACGTTACTCTTGTTGCCAGGCCATTTGTGGTCGACTCATGTTTGCTGTTTTTAGCAAAATTAGAACTTAACGTAAAAAATCTTAGTTCACATAATTTAAACAGAGATGGAACATGTGTGCATCGTCTTTTGTTCTAAAATTTTAATGAACTAATTAACACAAGTACATCCCTCTGAAGTTGTCAATGAAATTATTTGTCTTTCTAGAATTTCATGCAAAACTTCTTTTCTGAGGTTGGAAGAAAACGTGCTCAGATTGGGGACTTGTTTTTTTATAATGGTAAATAATAAATTAATATATAATAAATTAATATATAATAAATTAATGCAAACAAGCCTGAATGGTCCCCAGGACTATATACAACTGAAAACTCACACCCCAGAAGTGACTCGAACCCATACTGCCAGGAGCAACGCAACTGGTATGTACAGGGACGCCTTAATCCGCTTGACCATCACGACCAGACATAAGGAAGTGATAGCCGAAGCTATTTGAACCACTTCCCCGCCGGCACTCGGATGGTATTCTTGGGCATAGCATTTTATCAAATCGCCTCATTCTTTGGGGCACACGTGAGGAACACAAATGCAAACAAGCCTGAATGGTCCCCAGGACTATATACAACTGAAAACTCACACCCCAGAAGTGACTCGAACCCATACTGCCAGGAGCAACGCAACTGGTATGTACAGGGACGCCTTAATCCACTTGACCATCACGACCGGACATAAGGAAGTGATAGCCGAAGCTATTTGAACCACTTCCCCGCCGGCACTCGGATGGTAATCTTATATTTTGTAATATTTTGGTAAAGCTTATATTTAGCCCCCCCCCCCAAGGCGGAATTACTGACCCCGCCCAGGATACAACCCCACAACAAGCTGATTAATTAACTCCTGAGTACCTACTCACTGCTAGGTGAACAAATGCATTAGGTGAAAGGATATGTGCCTAACCATTTCTGTCCCGCCCGGGATTCAAACCCGGAATTCTCGATTGTGTGTCGAGAACGAACCCGGCTGTACTACCGGGATCCTAGCACAGCAGTGTGCTCGTGGTGGTACAGAGTAAATATGGGGATATAGTACATATGCGGATGCAGCGTACATGTAGGGGTAAAGAGTACATATCGAAGAACAGGTGCATGTGGTAGTAGAGAGTGCAGGTGTCCAGAGGAGAGAGTCAGGGCAGGTGTCCAGAAGAGACAGCCAGAACAGGTGTCCAGAGGAGACAGCCAGAACAGGTGTCCAGACGTCCGCTCATCGTTAAGGCTAAACCACGAGTCCCAAGTCAGCATTGTAGTTCCTCACATCCTTGGCGACGTTGAGACTTAGCCTCATTACACTTTATCCCCGTCGCAGGTGTGGCCTTTGTGGGGTTAATGGCTGTTGGACAGTGGCTAGAAAGCTATTACTTACGACTGTCACCTTTACTGATGCTTATGTTCCGAACCTTAATGGAATCTGACCCATATATCAATCAGGTCAACCCATGTGTTGCGTTTCCAAAAGGGTCGCCCATGTTAGAATCGGTGAACGCCCCAGTAATATTGTTGAAAACATCTTAATAACTTATTAAACCAAAGGTCTTTTTATGTCAGAAGAACGGCAGAAACTGAATCTATATATGAAAACTCTTTCAGGACAAAATTTAAAGTAAAACTAAAGATATTTGTAGTTGTATAAAAGTTGCATTTTTCATCGGTCGTAGAGCAGGAAATCCGCAATATTCATCTCAGAACAATGCTTATTTCACGCAGAATCGTTAATAAACGTAAGATTTTTATACGTCTCAAGAAAGATAGAAACATAATCTTCATTTTAAATGCCTTACCATGGGCATATTTGTATTTAAAGCGAAGATACGTGTATTTTTCTAATCGGCGAGCTCCGATCCCGCACTAATCGAGCAACGGAGTAACACTCTCAGAACAATGCTTATTTCACGTAAAATCGTTAATAAACGCAAATGTTTTTATATGTGTTGAGAAAGATAGAAATATAAGCTTCATTTTAAATACTTTACCATAGATATATATAAAGTTCTAATGAAGATACATGGGTTTTAATAATCGCCGAGCTCCGACCCCGCACAGACTGATCGACAGAGCAACTCTCTCAGAACAATGCTTATTTCACGTAAATTCATTAATAAACACATATGTTTTATATGTCTCAAGAAAGATAGAAATATAAGCTTCATTTTAAATACTTTAACATAGCTCAAGTAAAGATACATACATAAAGATACATAATATAAAGCTCAAGTGAAGATACATACGTTTTTATAGTGGCATTCAGTAGCTTGTCGGTCATGGAATGCAGAAGCCTACGCACTTGCCAATATAGTGTGTAATTAACAAAGATACGCTTATAAAGCCTAAAATATTATATGCCTTCAGAAAGACAGAG